GTACAAGTCAAATTTTAATCCCACGAGTGCAAAATGGTTTTGCTCGCACGTGCACGATGTAGCCCTGGTACAAGTCAAATTTTAATCCCACGAGTCGTTACACGGGAAAAAGATGGCCACGAATCCACGCATATGTATAATTTAACCGCATAACTGCTTTAGTCCCGAACTGACAGTTTGGGCAATAACTTTTTCCCCAACGGATGCTTAAGTATGATAAGCACATGGTTGAAAAGAGAATTCAAAGAGCTTTCGAATGGCGTGGGGGAGTACGGCGTACGACGAATATAGTCCTACAACATCCAGGTTCTCCTAGTAGCACTACTAGTACTACCAGTATTCCTGTTACCAGCACTACTACTGGTGGTGGTGGCATTAGTACTAGTACTCCAATACACTTAAAAAGGTACACTAAAGATCCATTTGATACTTGACAAAATGGTATATTCAGAATCCTCATAAAAAACTGGTGTAGACAGTGTCTTCAAAAATTATTTTATTACTATTTTTGATAAAGTTATGACTACTTAAAAGTTGGATAGTTTTACTAGTATTATGCAGTAAAAATTAGAATTATAAAAATTCCTKGAGCTGATTTTTTAATTTTGGGACCGAGGATGGAATATGATTTTTGATTTTTCGTTGCTGCAAAATCTTAGCCATGGAAAATCGATGCGCACCCCTCTAAATTTATGACCCCTGACCGTACGTACAGTACATCATCAATGGTTACGCGACGTACGTACCTGGCATGGCGTGGAAGCAAAGAATGCGAAGAAAGGAAGAAAACGGTGGAAACCCTAAGTATTTTTTTCTGTGTTCTTTGGCATTCAGTGTGAGAATTCCGAGGAATTGTACTATCGACGAACAAACAGCGGTTGAGTCGTGTATGCGTAAATTAGGAATCGGGTGGAAACCTTAAACCCATTGTTTTTTGGTGTTCGGGGCCGGATTCACTTTGGGGTCCATTTATTGCGCAGCAACACAACCGGGGTGGGAAAGACGCAACGCAACGCAAGACGCGTTCCATCGGGTGGTGGTGAAAAAAACAAAAAGCATACCGTAGCAGCGCAGTCAGTGGCAGCTAGCGCGTGCGGTGCAACCGGTTTTTTGCGAGTTCCTCGGTTCGTGGCGAACGGTTCGATACGGGACTGTATCCGATCCGATAGATGGCGCCTCGTCGCGTCACCAAAGCGTGTTCCGCAAGGAACCACCTCAAGTGGAAAGATATTGGGGTTTCGGTTTGCCTGATAAGTAACGCTTGAATAATTCATTCGTTATTTATTAGTGTCGTGACAATCTTTTCTTTTTCAACCGTCATCACCCTAAAAGATTCTCGGTTCACATTGTTTTTAAAGGAAAACGGTACTGGTGCTTCAAAGCAGATCATATACTTCGCGTTTACAAGAACGATCGAGTGCCATTTATATTTTTTATCCATGCATCAATTGCCCTCACACCGCACCAATTCAAACACCACACAACGCCACGCAATAATCCAGATTTTGGAATTCGTGACGATTTTTCCAGCGTTAAATTCCACTGGGATTTAGGGAGGATACCAAAACTCGGGAAAATTATTTGGGTAACAGTTACCGGAACTTGTTCCAAGAAACGCTTCGGTGCCTAGTGCCCGTTCTTGCCGGGTAAGGCAACGGAACGGAACGGGCGCTGTTTTTCCAATCGCAATTCGTTCGCCGCCGTGCATGTGCATGCCTCTCGAATGCTTTCGCAGCGATAGCAGGGATACCCGCTTATTTATTTGGTTGTTATCCGAGTAACCGTCGCAGTGCCTCGCTCCAAATTCCTAGATAGGCACATACCTCGGGTTTGCCACAACGGACCTGCAACAAAATTTCGGTTTTGCAATGAAAGAGTGTTTGTTGACCAATGTCGCCAATAGATACGCCTTGAGACAAACCTTGAGACACAACTCGAGACATACCTGAACAGAATACACACCTCAAGACACACTCGAAGACACACTCGAAGACAAACTCGAACAGCACCACGCGCTGGACACCCTCCAAGATGACTACCAATACCAGCACGAACCACAACCACGGCAGGAGCACGGGCCGGTGTTTCGCGAGCGAACGGGCAAGACAGCCCCCGCGCTCGCACAACAGCAACCGACGCCTCCGGGACAGAAACCGGAGCCACCGAACCATCAGCACGCTGAGCAGCGGAAGCAGCTTTCGTTCCGACTACAGCGGGGACAGCACCAGCGGCTCTTGCGTTTCCTTCTTTACCTCTTCCACGACACCGGCGGTGTGCTTCCACCACCCCGAGCACGCCACCAAGAAGAAAAGCGGCAGCCGCAGTGGGCAACTGCAACAGCAACAGCACGCCTCCGTGGTCTGCTCCCGGTGGGAAACCCAAGCCCCCGGTTCCGATTCGGAAGGGGGGCTGAAACCGGTGCGGAAACTCTCCCAGGACGGCTTCAACGACCGGGATTCCTCGGCCCTGCTCATCATCCGGGACGCCCTTTGGGCGTTGAACAGCACCGCCGATGGAAGCCACGGCGGAAGCACCAACGGCAGAGACAGCGGGGCCGGGAGGGGCCGGGTCTTCCACTCGTTCGACGACGACCTCGAAGACGCCACCGAATGGGAGGCCGGGCGCCCGAGAACGAGTGGAAGCGCTTCCGGAGAGGCCCACGAGCACCGCTCTCCGGCCCAAGAAACCGCATGCGGCGGAGCGGGTGCCCACGAACGCCCGGCCGGAACCGAAGGCCGTTTCGGTGCCCTGTTGAACCAGAGGCGGAGGCCCGCGGAAGGCGTCCGGCCTCTTGCCCGCCACAAAACACGCAAAGCAAGGGCCGCACGAATTCCACCACCACCACCAGCACGAACCACACCGCCCACACCACCCATTGCGGGCGAGCCCCTCCTGCCCACCGAGAGCTCGCGGTGGGAGGCCTCGTCGTCGTCTCTCTCGGTCTCGCAGTCGGTCTCGGTCTCGTCCCCCGAGAACACAAGACCATCCCACGGGCCGTCCCGCCCGGTGGACTACCCTCCCCCGCCGCCGCTCTTTTCCTTCGAGCGGCCCCTCTCCCCGCCGGCCGAAGGGGGGGAGGCCCCGAGCGATCCCCAGGGGTCCTTCCGGGACCGGAGGAACCGCCACCCTTGCCCCCTTGCGGGCCCGGGGGAAACCAGGAACCAGAACTCGAACTCGAACACGAACACGAACACAAACACGAACTCGAACACAAACACGAACACGAACCTTCACCATCCCTCGGTCACCCCGCCCTCCATTCCCCGGAGGCGCCGGTCTCGGGATTCGCACGAGCCACCGCCGAGAACCACCAAGAACCAAGCGGGTGCAACGCGACGAAGGCAACCACGGGAGCCACAACAGCAGCAGCAGCAACAAAAACAAAAACAACAGCAGCAACAAAAACAACAGCAACAACAACAACAACAACAACAACAAGAACAACNGTTACTTGTGGTAGTATTAGGAGTACTACTACCAATTCTACTAGTGGTAAAAGATATGAAGTCCTTACAAAAAATGAATAATGTTGTTTGGTCAAGTGTGATTTACTACTGTATTTGTGCCATTTATTTCTTTACTAGTAGTGGTTCTACTAGTATTGGGCTGCGCTTCTGCTCTTTGTTCCTCTTCCTCCTACACTTCCTCCTTCCTTGTTGCATTCCTACTGCTGCTATCATCTCCATCACTTCTATTGGATCTCTTTCTTGAACCAATCACATCCACAAGTATTCCCATTACCAGCACCACCAGTACTACTACTGCTGGTGGTGGCATTAGTACTAGTACTCCAATACACTTAAAAAGGTACACTAAAGATCCATTTGATACTTGACAAAATGGTATATTCAGAATCCTCATAAAAAACTGGTGTAGACAGTGTCTTCAAAAATTAYWTTATTACYATTTTTKATAAAGTYATGACTACTTAAAAGTTGGATAGTTTTACTAGTATTATGCAGTAAAAATTAGAATTATAAAAAWTCCTTGAGCTGATTTTTTAATTTTGGGACCGAGGATGGAATATGATTTTTGATTTTTCGTTGCTGCAAAATCTTAGCCATGGAAAATCGATGCGCACCCCTCTAAATTTATGACCCCTGTTTGGGTACGAGTACGAGTTGGTACTCGTACTCGTACCGGACGGCCCAGTGAAACGTAATTTCAATTGATCCCCAACGCGTAGTACCCTAGTATGGTTGGTATCATACGTATCATTTTTCGTTTTCACTCGAGACGAAGGCCAACCATTCGATTTTTGTCAGAGGGATAGTCTGTTCCTCGCTCCAATTACCTCGTTGATGCCTCCAATCAACGTGAAGAAGAATGCACGGATCAATCAATCATTGATCAACCAACATTTCAACAGAGCAAATTTGCATCCTGTCGCTCTTTTGCATCAAACCAAAACAGCGAGCGATCTTTTTTCTAGGTGGTCAGTAGCATCGAACAGACACATGAAACTACTCTAGCTACAAGCAAGTATTCAAGGCATTCAATTTATTACTAGAAGTATTAATTACTAACAATCATGTCGGACACGGAAATGAAAAGTCCGAAGAGTGCCAAAAAGTCCAAAAAGAGCGACCGAACCTCCTCTGCTTCGGCTGCCGATGCAGCCACTAGCGGAAAAACCTACGAGGAACGGGTTGCCGCCGTCAGCGTTATCGCAAAACCGCTGGCTTGCAAGAAATCCACCAAGAAGGCCCACAAACTGGTCAAAAAGGCTGCCACCGCCAAACGTATCCGGCGGGGTGTCAAGGAGGTTGTAAAGGGACTTCGCAAGGGCGAAGGTGGCTTGTGCGTATTAGCAGGTGATATTTACCCGCTGGATGTTTACAGCTTTYTGCCGTGCTTGTTAGAAGAAAAGAACGTCCCATACATATTCGTTCCCTCAAAGCAGGATTTGGGAGCTGCTGCCTGTACCAAACGACCTACCTCGGTTGTGTTGGTGAAAGACAAGGCAGACAAAAAAGCTGGCGACAAAAAATTTGATGGACAGGACTTGATGGATACATTATTGAAGGAGGCGAGAGAATATAATCCCGTTGATGGAAATTAAAGAGGGATGTTCAGTTACGAATTGATTTTGTTTGGACTTGAGTTGCGTTTTGTAATGGAATTGATTCGATAGGGAATGAAWTTCTCAGGCTTCGATAGCGTACAACAAAAAATACCGAGGGGAAAAGAAGGACAAGGGTTCACCAGATCTGTGCCATAGTAACTACGGTGAACAGACGGAATCAGTCGTATCGTTTAAAGAAATGCGGCAATGAAACGATGGAAAAAGAGAAATTATGCCAGGCGGTGCCAATCAATACATTGCTGGGATGAAATATGATAAGCCATTGTAGTGCTGTGTATGCATACTAGAAAAACACTTACAGTGGCTATGGGAGAGATCCAGTAGTGGACTGTATTGCGAACTATTCTATCTTATTTTTTTCTCGCTAGACATATTTTTAAACAATTGTACAGAATCCCCTTCAAAGAGGGTAAAGAATGAGTTTACCATTGATTGCAAATACTATCACACAAATGAGACTTGTTATCTAGACCTACTTGGCGATATGGAATGCTGTGCACAAGTGCATCCCGTGCTAACATATGAGTGCTATGCTAGTTGCTGAGAGGGATGCAAAATCAACATCAGCAACAATCGGCAGCAACACTAGTACTACTAATAATTACCATTACTAACACTTGGTGTAATGGGAATGCAATTAACAATATTGAACATAGTAAAGATTGAWCATAAAGAGCATTTAGTAGTAAGAAGGGTGCAATAAGGGGCTTCTTGCTTCAATCAGTGACCAGAAAGTGTGGTCTGTGGTGGGAGAAGAAGGATAACTGGTGTTGTGCTAGTCTCCTGGTGTTTTATTCATCAGCTGGGTGTGCTGCTGTCATCACTGATGAATTTGTTATGCTGGAATCAAAGTGAGCCTTTGTTATTTTATATCAGTAGCTTGTACAGAACAATAAACTTTGAGTGTTGATTACATGGTGCCTTTAGCTGGTGGATTCTTCATTGCCCTTACTATGAAGAACCCCTCGGAGGACTTCTGCTGCTTTCCTGTCTAACAATGTTGTCATACTACTACTACTATTCTGGAAAGAAAAATGGCATGGAGCTGGTTCTTGCTCTTTCCTGGCAAGATGAAGGTGTGTATCTACTACACCACCTGAGACCAGCAGCCCCATCACCACCACCCATAGTATGGATAAGAAATGATCCCTTTATTGCTGAGGTTTCTGAGTGGAGTGATCTTCTAAGTAACATCACCCATCAAGGATAAAGATTAGGAGAAAAAGGAAATGGCTGAAGTTGATCATATAGTGATGGATTGAGGTTAATCCAAATTAAAGACACCAAATCACTAGAAACTCAATAGTAGTGATACACTGCTACTAGAAAAGAGACAGAAGTCTGTTGTGTGGGGCTGATATCATGGTGAGCATCTAGTAAGACAAGTAGCCTGAAGATTCAATGTTTTTAATACTTTCTTTCAATAAAACTGCATACTATCACACCAGAAGGAAACAACAGAGATGCCATCTGTGAAGAGCACATTTTTTCTTTTGCCTGGCCTGCAATGGTAGGTGATCAAGGGATCTGTCAAGCCTTTGCTGGGTAAGTTTACCACCCACACCAACTGTGCCATCATTTACAATTGACCCAGGTACATTTCTGGCAGTCTCCCTTTCTCCCAGTCGGAGTGTGTAAGCACTGAGACCTGCACTTGGTGCATGGCTAGGGTTAGTAGGTCTGTCAAATGAAAACATTCCAAATGCCCATCTTCTTGCCTCCAGTCTCACTTCTACTTCTTCCTTGCCATCTGGTCCAGAGCAGAATAGAGCCCACTCTGGTTTGTTGTCACACCATGCCCTTGTAGTATCTCCATTTTCAACAACGACTGGTACAAAAGTTTTTGCAGCTGCTGGGGGCTTCACAACAAGTGTCTCTAAAATGTCATCACCACCATCATGTTTGACATCTTTGTTGGAGTTTGAACTGCTAGTATTACTACCATCTGACAAGTCGTTGGAATCATAGCCACGCAGCAGAAGCTTCTCATCATGCAACTGTTCAGGTCTTGATACCACCAATGTGGTACACAATAGACTTCTCTGGAAGCCAGCTCCCAGCTCCCAACCACCCCATAAATGGAACCCAGCATTCACTTTCAGGATCCAGTTCACTTTGTTGTGTCGTCATGATAACAATGACTACAAACAAGTGTCAACTGATGCTTCAGACTGTCAGTGTCTCTTGTCGCCCTTAGCACCCATCAACACCCCCAGCACCCATTGGTGCCTACATACAACTTTGCACAGACTGTGGTATGGCTAGTAAAATTTGTAAATTGATTCAATTCAGTCAAAAAAACAGACCATATCCAATCATTCTTTCAAAAAGTGGTGCGGCATGGTTGGCTTGCATGGAATGCGCGCCAGCCATAAAGAATGTACATTATTTATGGCAGGACATAGAAAGAGGAGCACAGACAAACTGTGTAGCAGCACAGCAGAAAAAACACAATGTAGTAAGAAAAACAGATTTTTTGTGCACAAACATAAAACTTTGCTTTGTGAAAAAAACACTGTTCAGTGCCGGTCTGAACATGACAAACAACAATGAYGTGAGAACCCTACACTGTGGTAGTAAGGGCCTCCCCAAGCCAGATTACAGTAGGAAGCCCAACAAGAAGACCACCACTAGACCTACTACTAATAAAGGTATCACCAAGCCAATAGCTACTAGTAACAAGAGGAGTACTACAAGGTCTTCAAACATGCATGTTGCAGCCAACAAGGAAACTTCCATTGTTGCAAAGGACAGACCCAATGTGGGAAACAACAACGCCACTGCTAATACTTCATCTTCTTTTCACATTCCTGCAGCAACAGACCACAACAAGAGCTTGCACAAACTATGAGTACAGAAACCAGAGGGATTAGAAAAGCTTTTCCAAAAGTCACAGCCACTGCTAGCAATGATGACAGTGACACCACCATTGCCAATAAGAGTGATGGTATTCCACCAGCTGCTCTTCCTGTCAAACAAATGATGCTTCAGATGATGCAGCAAATAATGAAGGAGCAGCTTGTAAAACAGGAGCAGCATAGTGGACCACAAAAACAACAKAAGCCACCAGTACTAGAAGAGTTGACCTACAACAAAGAATAWAAGTTATCTTTGTCGCAACAAGTCCATCATCCTTTCAAAAAGAGACATTAAAGTTTTGAATAACATGCGTGATGTGGTGGATGGGCAATTGAAATGTTTTGTAAAAAAATACTGGTAAGACAAGGTGAAGTTACCTGTCAACAACAGAGTTACTGCTCACATCATGATTAAGGCAGTGGATATGGAGAGGGTCAATGTTCCAAAAGATATCACCCCAGCAGCTTTCTGTGAGTTTTTTCAGAAGAAGGTGGTCACTGTACTTGGCACATTGAGACATAATTCACAAACCTTAGCTCAGAAAAACTGGCTTGGTAAGTTGCTTTTTGGTTTCCTTTGTGTACTATTATTTCCCCCACTAATGCAAGTATGTTGTAACTTCCTGTTATTTGTTATCTGAACACAGCTGATTACAATACTAAGAACAGAGTACCAGCCTCCTTCCCAGGTACTGTTGGAGTGGTTGAAGACCCAGACTACAGTGGCTGGGGGAGTATAAATCCTAAATACAGGAAATAGGAGGATGCTGAGAATGAAGAATTCTATTATTTTGTGACCAGGATCTTGTCTGCTGTCARTCCAGCAAAAAGAAACTTCAAGCAAAGGAAAGACAAAGATTTGCTCAGCGAGATCTTCTCAGTTGCTGATGAGGCATTTGCTTTAATATTGATATTCAAAGAACACCATGTTTGGGAGAACCAGAAGCAGATGAAGAAAAATCCTGAGATCCGCCATAGGAAGAAAAGGTATTGCAATGCTGAGAGTGRCAATAGGGATGGATGGATTGAGGAAGGAAAGGACTTGTTTAATGAATTATGTGGAAAAGTAGCAAAGCTACTCGAGGATCCTACTACACCAGGGAAGGAGTTAGAGACAAAGATGAGAGAGAGAATTATGAAGGAGAGTGGTAATTACAAGAAATGTAGTACCAGCAATACTACTTGTAGTAGTACTAGTAATAGACCAAAAAAAAAGCAGAGCAGCTATATTGATCCAGCACTGAGAGCTTCTCTGCTCGAGGATGGTTTTGGTGATATACCGCCCAGCAGGGTCATCAGACAATGAAGAAGAAACAGAAAAGGAAGAGGAGGATCTAGAATAAAATTGAAAATCAATAGTAGTATATATTACATATTTTGAGAATCTATTTATTCTACCAGTAGTATAGAGCAGTAGTCCAGAATACTAGAAAAGGATTGGGAGTAATACTATTGTTCTATATGTGAGAATTTATGTTTTGAAAATAGATTATAGGAATCTGGAGAAAGGAATTGATGACAATAGTAAAAAGTTGACAATCAAGTCTGTTTTGGGGCCATGATGTGATCGTGACAAAATATTATTTTGTTATGGGTCTTGGAAAATCTTTACTCATGAATGGAATTATATTTGGTGCTTGCGACATGCAGAAATAAATTTGTTTGTTCAACATTACAAAGAAAAATAAAGATGGTAACATCCGGTAAAGTGGTCAACAGTGGGGGCGCGATAGCAAAGGAATAACAGGGTGTTTTTTTGCCGCGTGTGTTAAAAACACGCACAGGAAATTATGGTCCTGACAAACAAAAATTATACCCTAAGAAACATCTCTTGGACTTTTTTCATTAGAGTTTTCCATATCAGTATCATAGCATCCTATGTACAAATTAGTACTACCAAATATTTCAATATAAAAACACTTAATGTTTTTTTAAAATTTTGAGACAGGTAGAAGTTTGGAAGGCAAMTGAAGCCTATTGTTCCCTCTGTAGAGCTGCCTACAATTTGGACTGACTCCGGACCTGTCTCAGCCTCATTTGCCTTCCTACATCGCACCTACTACCTACTACAGTACTAGTATGATCCAAAGAATTTTGATATTAACTTTTTCCCTTYGCGTGTTGCCAAATGTTGCCACCTGGAAAAATTAGGATTTTTTCTTTGCTACTACTACTACACTACTACTACTCTACTTATCACACCCCTCCCATCACTATAAACAGTATTATAAGAATATATATTTACAAATATAAATATGCTATTCATTTATAACACATCACTACACTTGATGGTTGAAGTTACTCCAATGATCTTGACATACAGCAACATTGCAACTTCTGCAACCATTCATTGACATTTTAAAACTACTAATCCATGGCAACTTCCTCCTCAATCTCCTCACTGATGAGTTAGGATACCTATGCTTTGCTTCTTCTGCACACACAACACAATAGTTCCTCTTTACTTGTTCATACTTGTCACTGCATCTTTCTTTATGTGACTTTGACATTACCTTTCCATGAGCAATGGTGCTGGTGGTCTTCCTCTTGTTCACACAGAGGAAGAAACAAATCCTGCAATTACAAGGGTGATATTTTCCATTCTTTGACGTCTGAGGCATCCACTCTGGTGGCTTAGAACCTTCATCATATTGAGCTTTCCAGTCCATTTCAATACCTCTATTCATCAATGCAATGCCAAGATGAGATTGAMACTTTTTCCTACTGTTGTGTTTTGATTTGTATATCTTCCATTCCTTCATAAACTTGTCACATGCTACTAGGCTAGTGACGATTGTGTAGCAGGAGTGTACCACTCTATCAAGCAACCACCAGAAGAAAATACAAAGGTACCATCTGTTTGTTTGAAGTGATGTAGAATATTTACCGCTATCCTTGTCTGAGAGGTCAACACCATTGAACCTTGTGGAATGTGTCTTCTGTACCTGTGGATCATCAAATTTCTTTCCCACAATTTAGTAACCTCTGGATCTCTTCTGTGTCTCTACTTGTTGCTTACCAATAACATCAACAGTATGCAACCATCCAAGCACCCTTTTGTCCCTCCATATAGTGTGGCCTGTACAACATATTTGGAATTACCTCTTGGTCCAGTCATTGACTGTGTGGCATACCTCATCCATCCTGGTTGCACCTTTCCAACTGCAYCATTAGAGAGCTTTGGAAATGGGAAATCTTCTGATGTGCGTGAACTAGTAACCCTCTTCTTTGTCTGGACAATGGTTCCAGCTGATACCCATCTGTATTCTTCATATAGCTTGGTTGCAACTTTTGTAGTGTAGAAGTTGTSCATAAACACATCCAATCTTCAAAGGCATACTGGTTGGACTTGTTTGCTATCATCTGAAGGATTTTTTCATCAAACAAGAACAAGAACAAATGCGCCAGCCCCTCCCACCTTATTAGTGCAGGAATGGGACCTGGGGTTGCACCTCCAGGTGATGTATACTGGACAATGGGAGGAGGAAACCATTCCTCTGCATCATCCCCCAGCTTCCAAGCTTCATTTGGTATTACTGTCAATTCCTCCTCCTATGGTTCTGCTCTTTCTTCACTKTCCAGATACTCTCAATTGTCAAAATTGATTGCTTCATATGCTTGTACTTCTTTGAAAAGTCATCACATGCTATTACTTTTGCCTGGGCTTTACAATCTTCAAAAGAATTATGTGAATTTGTAAGCTCTTCACCTGTGACATGTTTATAGACAGTAGAGAGACGTAGATCTGGTGGCTGGAAGCTTGGACTTGGATGGATTCAAGAAGGGATACCCAGGATTCTTTTTGATGATCAGATATGGGTCCATGGTCATCTTGGGAGGGGTTCCTACTGTGAGGGTGCAGGCCACCACCACAGTTGTCAGATAGGTCTGCATCACTAGTAGTATGACCATCATAGTATGAACAATTGTCGTCAACCATCATAAAAAGAACAAGAATCATCCTCATCCATCTTGGTGATCTGATTATTTTATGTTGGCTGGTAAATACTATGACAGCTAGAGTGATATTTTATATTATGGTTTGGAGTGTTTTATATTTTCTTGGTTGGATATTACAAGGAGAGAAATGAATGAGCAGAAAAGGTGTTTTATACAAAGTAATTGTTTAAAACTCTTTTTGGTATTTCAGTCTTATTTTCTGTAGGATTTGTACTGCAGTCTACACAGGTGAAAATCACGTGAAACTCCAAAAAAAATCCAAAAATGCACGATTTGGGCGGAGACGGGGAAAAAGTTAAACTTTTTGTACGATACTACTTACCACATTACGAGTTCGGTAGTTACGGTATGTGGGTCCCAGATCGTGACTCACAAAGAACAAAAAAAGTGACGCATAGCAGGTGTGAAATGACGCATCAAAACTTAGCACACGAATGATATGCGCTGTTTGCTTCCATGTCATTTCTCAGATTTTTTTCATGTCAATACAGTATTGTTGATGTTTTGACATCGGGCAATACTATTTTCAGTGCCCTTCTTGCAYGAGTTACTGACATCTGAAAGATGAAACGAGAAAAAAATGACAGCGCCACACGTGAGGTGTCACAAAAAAATAATACGAACGAGATGGAACTTTTCTGAAATTCTTTTTTGGGATGGCCTCTGATGCGATGTTTTGAAAATCAAAATTCTTTTTCCCTCTTCCTGTCCACCAGAACAAGGTTGCGTGTCACCCACCCATATATTTCAACACTCAAAAGAGCAAAACAAGAATTATAACAGATTTTACCATGAGAATTTCGATGCTCCTTCTTCTCGTTGTCGGCCCATTTTGTGGGTCGGCCTTCATTTTCGAAAAACCACTCGCCGACATMAAAAAAGTCGTAGAGGCCCAGCACCAAGAGCGCCTTTCTTTTGGTCTTAACATCGGAAAGCCAGGGGATATCTCAAGACTGCCGATCCAAGGAATAGAATTCGATCTCACGAAACATACCCCTAAATCCACCGATGACTTCGTCAAAATGCCCGGAGCGCATGGACCTCCACAACTGCGATATCTGAGTGGTGGGGTTCACACGTTGAGTGTTGTAAGTAACGGATCCTTTGTATCCATGGCGGGAAGCGAGATCGTCGAGGTCCTGAAAGGATGCTGGGAGATCATTTGGAAAGACGGAGATCCAAGTGGAAGTCTACTCTGCGGTTTCGAAGTTGACCAAGATTACAAGCGAAACGACGCAATTCTTCCCAAAGGAAACGTGTATGTTTCCTTCAATGCTTGGACAAGTGAAGGCCTTGAACAAGCACAGCAAAGGAAAACCCGCATAATGAAACTTGCAACCACTGCCTTGGAGAAGAAACAAGAAGAACTCGACATGATGAAAAAGACAAGCAATTTGATCCAGAAGGCTATTCATTTCTACAATGCAATAAACGCTGTGGAAGACTACACGTTGTTACCAGTCAAGACAGTGGAGAGCATTCCCGATCCCGACAGCGTTGTTCATTTCAAAGGTGACCTTTTTTTAAGTACAAAAGGTATGGTCTGGAGACGAGATGACAGTAATGGCAAACCGACGGTGATTGGTAATGCCCTGATGAACTCTACTTGAAAAGACATAAGACTTTTGATCGTGAAATGTCCTGCTTTTCCACAAGGTAAACCCGTAGAYAGCGACTCGTTAATTCTGGGAACAATTCAAAAGCATCGCTCGCTCTCACTTTGCAAAAACGAAACAAGATCACTGCACGTCCCCATCTCTAGGGGGCAGACATTTTTTGCATACCTTGTGTCTTCCGTACCTCCGCGGTCGTACAAAACATTCAGAAAACGGTAAAGGACAAACGAGAACCAATTCATCTTGGGCTTCCAGAATATTCTTCTTTTGGTAAAAGCCCATACGTAGACAGAATATATTTACACAAACACAGCTTCAGAACGTTATAATTTAAGCTACCAACTTCTCTCGGTTTTATACCTACTCTCACTAGTAGTAGCGTCATCTATCATTCTTTTCTTCATGGAAATCACTAGGTGTTAGTAGTCCTTACCAGTGTCACAGTGTTCTCAATAACATCTTCACCGATATCAACTTATTGTTATTCAAGTGAGTACTACTACTACTTAAAAGGTATTTACTACGAACGACTTTTACTGGACGCTGCTGTTGAGGGTACAATAGTGTAATACTTCGTTGTGACTAGGTACAATGTTTAATCGGTAGTACGGGACTAATTTTCCGAATTTCTGTGTCAAAAGTAAAGTACAGTACGTTGCAGTAGTAGTACGTGCTCCACAAAACGGTTATCTTGACTGTTAGGTTTGATTACTGTATGAAATAATAATGATAGTAACGYCTAGGCTGTGATTGACAGATAGCAGCCAGATTCTTAATTCTTTTCATTATTCCAACACACATGATTTCAATAGCAATCCTACTAAGGCGCGAACAGTGATCAGTGGTACATCGGTTTTTGGAGAAGCGATAATGTAACTGGTACTCTGATTTTTTTCACTATCTTCTTCCTCTACTATTCAATGATTTCGATATTATCGTATGATAGCATACAATATTTTTGAGAATGTGACGAGAGGTTGCATTAAGATACAATACAAATGAATGGTGTCAATGGAAAACTATGGAAATGGACAGCCATCCTCGTTCAGAATGACCTCCCATCTTTACAAAAGAATGTTACTGGGCCATTTTAAAAGACGAGACCAACGTATGTTATGTTTTAGGTGGAACATGTACCCTTGGTTTAAAGACTACACTCTCCTCTAGATCTTTCGGAAGGTATACAAGGCTTSCACAGTTCGTTTGCTTCCTCTGCCTTCTCATAAATTCAGATTACTTTCCAAAACTGTTCTATCGAATCACTAAATTCCCAATATGGCCGAAGGTGAGATACTGGTCGTTGGTATCGCTATTTTGCTTTATCTCTGTTTCCGATTGGAAGCTCTCAGTGATGGATTCGCAGATTCATTCACTGGATCACTGCATTAATCATTCAACACCGTGCTCAGATCTCAACAATGCTCTTTTCTTTTCCACCAACTTGCGTTATGGTATGTTCGGTTCATTTGAATTCACGTGTTCAGTCGAAACTACCCCTCCYGTTTCCGAAGAGACTCAAGCCGAAGAACAGGCTCCGATCACCAACGAAGAATCGAAGGAACCGACTGCTGCTCCAGTCGCTGCCGAATTCAAGAAGAAAAAGTCTATGTTTTCATCCTTTTGTGGCTGCTTTGGAGGAACTCCCGCCGTAGCGGAAGAAAAAAAAACGGAAGACGAAGTTAAGGAAGAAACCGACAAGCCCGCGGTGGAGGATAAGCAAGAAGATACCGATGTCCAGGCTTAAAGATGCAAGGCCTTTCGAATCCCTCGTAGACCTGACGCACATCGTGTCGTCCTGTCTTGTGTGTCACTCGTTTGTTAGAGTGTTCCCATGRGATTTCTATATGTATTGATTGATAGAATGAATGGTGCTATCGGTATGCGACTGGCAGTAAAGTACATAAATCAATTTAACGAAACAACAAATAGTTACTACGTTATGTCTGGACCAAACCTTGGCTTTGGAACTACTTGTCAGTAGAAACTTCTTTCATACATTGGCCAAGGACTCAAATGTGCCTATTACAGTTACGAATTTTCCTATTTTTATGCGTTACGTTAATTTGGATCATTCTCGTGGTAATATTTGCACTATGACTGAAGCATACTTGTTACTAGTACTTCGGAAAAGTTTGTGATCACTGGTTGTAAAAAGTACGCTCAACTCGACACTATTGGTTCTTAGTTGTATACGGACGAAATATGTCTTCATTTGATGGAATGCTATTTATGTATAGTTAGTAAACTTAGCAACAAAAGATCCATCAATTTTCGAGTCGCGCTTTCTTAAACACAGCAGTGTTTGTCTCGATGCTATCTCCGTTGTTGTCAGAATCCGCATTGTCGCCTTCAGAGCTGTCGAGATCGATCTCGTTCTCATCACCTTCATCCTTTTCTGCTTCTTTGGAACTTCCTTTTCCATTGTTATCTCTGTCCCAATTGCTGTCAGCACCGTCGTCGTCGTGATCATCACTATCTTCGAGTTGAATCTCGTTGTCGTCTATTTCTTCTTTAGCCGTATCCTCGTCGTCATCAATATCGATCTCGTTTTCGTCATCCAATATTATTGTTCTATTGCTTGGGTTACCATTATTGTGAACACTGCTTCTGCCTCGGATGGAGGTGCTGGCATTGTTGTAGGCATAGATGCTACCACCGATGGTTCGTCTCTTGCTTGTTCGGTCACGCCATTGAGCTGAAATAACGTCAGGCGTTAGTGCAGGGTCGTAGGGTCTCGTAAGGATGTGCTSCAGTTCCAAAACGCGCAATAGATGGTCGGTTTGTGGATTGCCCATAGCCGGCAGCGACGGCGGGTCGGTGGTACTACCGCTTTTTCCGCCCCGAAAGGCCTCATYGGTGTAATACGGGACCGTCGGAACAAAGTCTCTCGGGATTTCTAAGTACGGCGTTTTCTGTCTTGCCGAATTCGATTTCGAATCGACAGCTCGAGCGGCTCCCCGTTCATCTTGCTGAGCCTTCTTTTCGTTTGGTGTTGCCGACGCCAAAGATGGCAAATCTTCCTTCGCCGGTTTGTTTTGATTTTCRAAATTSGTTTTTTTGAAGCGGTTTCTGACCCAGGAAGCATCGTAMTGTGCATTTGAATGATTGAAAGAGGGGACAGAAACGGGCCCTCTCTCGGTGGTATTCCAGTGGTGCGTCTGTTTCAAGATTGCTAACCATTCGGGGTCGTATTCCAAGTGGTATTCCTCTGATGTTGATGGCTCTTCTTGTGGTTGCACCTGTGTCGGAGCTCCACACATTGTTGCCGTTGCTTCGATGTCAGACGATGAAGCATCTCCAGCATTGTTGGGATGCTGGTCTATCGTAGTGCCGGACCTTTCGTCCGGAAGCTGCGACGACAATTCGTTCCCCTCTCCAGAACCATCTGTATCCRGAAGCCGTACATTCAGAACCGACAAGAATTGACGGCGTGGCAAGCACTTATCGAGGGCAAGGAACCTTGTCATTTGTTCAGTCAGGTCGGGGATCGAATCATTGCCTAATTTGCAGGTCGCCTCTGAGCCTTCCATAGCGTGAAATTCCGTTGTTGACGAGGGTACCGATGCAGTTGCTGCAGTTCCATCTACATCTGCTTCTGTGTCAGTTTTCACATTCGTGCTTGTATCTGTATCACTTGCATTGTTCTCATCAAATGGTATCGAGGCCATTTTATTTGCWACGTTGACGGGTGGTGGCGGYGGTAGCAGTAGCGGCGGTGCAGATATTACTGGTTTGGATCTAACCTGAGATGGCATTAACACGCTACTAGTTGGCGGTGTGGTCGATACCTGTGTCTGCGGTGTGGGATTAGTCTGGTCGTTCTTTCTCGCTAGCGTGGCTGGTTCTTGGGTTCGATGGACAAGGGTGGCATGGAATTTGACGTGAAGATGGGCGGCGAACCAGTGCGTCGGCTTTAGAACATCCAGGAGCTCCCTGTTGGGTGGACTTCCCAGCTCATTCCGTTCGATTTCTCTCCGGAAAAAAGGTTTCCTCCGTATAAGGCCCTGTGTGTCGCCGTGCTGCTCGATGCCAAGGGGCCAATCGTGGCTGGCAAAGACATCAATAGTATGTTTGCTGTTGTTGTTGCTGCTGTCGTCATTGTTGCCCCTACTCAACAATTTCATCCGCTCCACATCGATCCTGCGGACGTGGTACACACTCTTGACAGATCGGCGGTCGCTATAGGGAGCAACCTCATGGTATCCACATACGTAATCGTGGCTCTTGTAGATTCCAGAAATCCCCGCGATTCGGATGCCCCGGTACCTCACCACCCCCGCGGCACCCAGGTAGTAAATCTTTGGCGCCACAAATCCCCCGTAGTGCAGCTCCCGCAGGGGCTGTGAGGCCTCGTGGTTTCCTCCGATAAACACCGTGAGAATTGGTGCAACCTTCTCCCCGGAGTAATACTTGGCAAAGGTTCCCAGCCTCCGGTACTTGGGCGGGATGCTCGACGAGTGATAGTCGGCGGGGCTCCGCAGTGACTGGAAATCTCCACAGCAGACCAACAGGTCGATGGCGTGGCCYGAGGTCCGCTGGTGATCTAAAAGGCGGTCATAGATGAGATCGAGCTCTCCGTGGCAGCACCCTTCGACGGCGATCCGTACCAACGACGACGATAACGAYGGCTTGGTATTGCTATCTCCTCCGCCACAGGGGGAGCAGAACACCGTGTCTCCGATCTCTTCGATGGGATCAAATGCCGACCGTCGGTAGTGAAGATCTCCTCGACCCTTTCGACTGTTGCTGTTATTGTTCCTGTTATTTCTCCCCCGGCCACTTCGGTGRTCKGGTCGTCTTCCACCCCATCTACCGCGTCCACGTCCCCTCCCACGTCCGTAATTGCGATTCCCGCCAAACCAAGGGCCGTTGTTATTGCGGCCTCCTCCTCTGGGAACGAATTCATTGGATCTCCCAGAAAATCGGTTATGATTGTCCATGTCGGCGTCAGATACTGCAATGCGCTGCGCCTCCTCTGTTCCAAGTGTTTGAATAYGTGAATTGTTTGTAAGTTACGAAGGACAAAGCATCAATCCATCAGTGCTTTTGAAATCACGGCGACGAAGCTGTATCCCTAAGGTTTCCTCTACGATTTATTTTTATCGATTGTGAGTCTTTCTGATGTGTTTTTTTGTTTTGCACATTGATTAATTGCATTCATTTGCGTAGCGAACGAAAGCAAGAGCAGCGGATGAGTGGTCAACATGGTCTGATTGATGAAACGTAAAAAGTGATGTTGATGATGTTTTGATTTTGAAATTGAAATAGAAAAAAAGATTGCGCTCTAACCCACCCACAAATCCACGGCCCCTAAAACCATCATAGTAGGTACGAACGTACGGTTTCGTTCGTCTTATCATATCTACCGGTAGAGTAACATGTAACATACCTATCGTAAATTTTGAGTCGTATGAGTCTAATAAATTTTTTCTAYGAGACCTCTCGATCACGTAATAAAAGTACGTACGTAGACTCTAGASCAATCTTCGCTCCTCGCACAGACGGGCAACGAACCAAAATTTCRCTGCAGCGGTTTCCATCTGCTAGTCTGCAATCCTTCTTCAAATGCAAACCAATCAAATGATGCTTTTTCGTTTCCAGAACCATTCAAAAGTGTCACTTCTTGACACCCTCATTGTATTCTCGTTCCCAACCCGAAACCAGAACACAAAAAAGACGTTACGAGTACACGCTCCTACCGCACCTGCGTTGCGTTACTATCCTCGGTTCACATCCGACGATCATTATCAAACTACAAAWACTAGAAGGCGCCTTCTAACAATGCGAGTACTATGTACCGTACTGCACCCCATTAAATTGCATGGCATCCTCGCCGTATCGTACCGGTAGGCTCTACCAGGCGAGGCTGGTGATTGATTTTCTTTTGAGAAGGAGGAATCTTCTAAACGACCCGAATAGTCGTTGATTGCCCGGCAAGCTGGGCGTCGAATAAAGATATACCGATATGTCTTGTGACACGAACGAGTGATCGATTGGATGTTTGGCGCGATGCGTATGGCACGCCGGTAACTGCACCGAAACTGGAATTCAGRTGTTGATTTTGAAATTTCAACGAACGGCTCGAGTTTCCGATGGATCCTGTGAACGCCTGGAGGGAGTCCGAAAGGATCCGCCAAATTTTGTTGCAAAAGTAGAAAGGAAAAACCAACCCATCAATTTTCGCTTCAATCCCTGAAAAGGATCGTTCATTTTGCATTCTGCGAAAAAATCATAGAATTTCATTCGATGCCATTGTCTCGCAACCCTCCCATCCCTCAAGAGAAAATTACCAAGCAATACAATAACTATTACAGAACTAAAATTTGCACCATGTTGGGAGAAGAAAGCGCAAAGCCTACTGACGGCACCCCCTCCTCGAAGAAGGGGATCTTCATGTGGTTCAAGGAGATTTATTCGACGTGCCTGTTGATTTTCTGCTCGATCATTGTCCTCACGGTGATCTTTGAAAAGAATACCAAGATCTCGGAAGCAACAGCATGGGGTGCCTTTTTTCTCTTTTGGATCGCCCTCTACTGGCTATCCATGGTTGAGGGAGGACAGGCGTCTCTCGTTGGTCTCCCCCCCGTGGATATGGAGCTCTACAAGGAAAGCCACCCCACCACCCACAAGATCATGGCCATCATCAACAAAGGCGAAACACTCGATCGGTACCTGATGGGACGCCAGTTTATGGTGCTGGCCCTGGTCTTTGTAGAGAACCTCTGCGTCCACCCCATCGATGCGTCCTTGTCGATTCTGGGCATGCCTATCGCCATCAACAAGATTTTCCTGGACACCGGATTGGCCGTCTTTTTCATGACGGCCATGATCGGAAAGATCTCGGCCCAAGTGAACGCCTCGAGGTGCATGTTGGACTACGTCAATAACTTCTTTGCCTACTTTACCATGCAAACCGCCCGGTTGATCGAGGTCTCCGGTCTCTTGCACTGTTGCTACCCCGTCCAGATATTTTTCGCGTGGGCCGCTGGCCAGCCTCTCGAATCCAAGGAACCACCACGAAGTCTGGTACAGAACATCTTCTTCTGGGCACGCGTCCTCGTGTCGACTGCCATTCTGTGCTTCGCCTTTGCTGTCACCCTGTACGCCATTCTCAACGGCCAGACCACCATGTGGGAAGGCGTCCCCAGCTGGCTGACGATCTTGCTCTTTTTCCTCTTCATGTCCGTGGTCGGTATGCTCGAGGGCATGCAGATCGCTTTCTTTGCCGTGGCCCGTATGACCGAGGCAGAACGTGCCAGGTCTACCTGGGCCAAGCGAACCTGCGACGTCCTTTTCGAGGGCGACGGGCGCAACCTTCCCGGATTCATGATCGGCCGTCAGATGTGCGTGACGCTCTGTTTTTTCATCATTGCCCGCGTCACCACCGTCCAGCTCCAGGCCGGGGACGAAAATATCTTTGGGGTCTCCGATGCGACCCAGGCCTTTTTCGCCACAGGGCTGCTCGGGGCACTCATTACCACCATCGTGGCTTCCATCGCATGGCAGCTCGTGGCGTCGGCCTTTCCGATGGCCTTTTTGTCCACTCCCATCACCTACGTTCTGCTCAGGTTCTGCCTCGCACTCGAGTGGACCGGCATCTGCCAGGGCTCCTGGGTGGTGGCCCGCATCCACCGAAAGATCGTCAAGTTCAAGCGCGACGAGGTCTACATCGGAACCGCCGAGGAACGCGCTGCAAGGGCCAAGGCCAATCCCAGCAAGTTCGAGGAAGACAAGGGAGAGAAATACGACGTCGTGCCAGGGCACATGTATCCCGGGGTCCCCACCCTTCCCCCCGACTTCAAAGGGGTCCACCGCTCCCTGGAAGAGATCGAGGACCTAGAGAGGGACCTCCTGTCGCGCCAGCAGGAAATCGAGGGCCGCCTGGCAGAACTCAAGGCCCAGAAGGCAATCCTAATCGGGAACGGAGTTGAATCGACCCGATCGGTGGAWGTGGAGTGCTAATTCATAAYYAACACCGCAGCAGAGCGATGCGCACTCCGTCGCAAGTCAAAATCCATCACTACACTGCGGTTTGCCGCAACGATGATTCGTTTCTTCATGGATGGAAGGCGCTCCAATCTGTACGCACTCTCCACATCCACGTATTGGATTTCCCTTCTTCATTTAAATAATTGCAGTACGAGTACTATTATTAGGTTTGTGTATTTTGAAACAAATTTAATGTCTTTTACAGCGAGAAATCTAATAGTGGTGCCCAACATCTGTATCATTTCTCTAAATTATTTTTCTCTTCGCCTTCCTTTCAACCATCTATTCCGAGTGAGGCCCAGCCCCGTTTGTAAAACCGTAGATCGAGAAAAACAAAAAACATCAGCCAACATTTTCTCCTCTTTGGATGTGCTTCCTACATGTGCGTATTTATGGTAGAAGTACGTACGTACCTAAGTGTACGGATATCCCAATGGGAGGCAATCCCCTACTATGGTCGCCCGGCGTGAGGCTCTCACGACTGCATTGGTCGGAACCATGGAAGCATGATCATCATTGTACTCCTACGAGTAACGGTACTAGTTTGTACCGGTAAGTGAAAAAAGGTTCGTACGCCAAGGACGTACCGTACGTATGGTACTGGCGGTTCATTCGGAGTAGAAGTATTTGGTTTGTGAAAAATTCGTACGAAATAATTTAGTCGTGAGCTGTAGCACTTTTCGAATTCTCAGTCGGTACGGTACGTCGTTGTACGGATGAACGCGTCAAGTTTTGCGATGTGCTCAAGTACCAGTAATAGTACGTAATATCACTCGTACGATTGGCTTATTCTTGTGCCAACGACAATTTAGAGAAACGCCACACACCACCACCCAACAAGAACGCTTCATTCTTGCCCATTCTTTCCCAGCGGTCACCAAAGATCCGCATCGCAACAAAGCACACCACCGATAGCACCACCTAAGCCATGGTTGTTCTGGAGGCCGCCGCCATCGGAGCCGCAAGTTACGGCATCTACAAGGGAGGCGAAGCCGGCATCCAGAAGGGCAAGGACTGCCGCAAAGAATTTAAGCGGGAGCAGAAACGATCCTCGCAGCGATCGGTGCTCCACCAGAAGACCCGATCGAGGAGCTCGCGCATCGCGGAGATCGTTCAGATGAAGAACGGCAAGAACGAGGCAAGCGCGGCAGCGGTGACGAGTGCTCGCGGCGCCGGCACGGGCAGTGGGTTCCTCCATGCCACGAGCTTTGCGTCGCGACTGAAATCCGCTAACGAGGCGTCCACCGATATTGACGATCGCCACCGAGCCGTGATGGAAACCCTGAGGGCCAGCCGGAAAGAAGAAAGCAAGAAGGAGGCGAAAACCAAGGTGGGCAGCAAACTGAAGAAGGCCCTGACGAATCCGTTCAAGAAGAAGTAAATAAACAGAATACAAAACCAGGACAAGATCGATTGTGGTAGGCGTAGTTACTGCGTCTTTGTTATGTCCTTGCATCTATTTCTTTGCGCGCTTCCAATGCCCCATTCGAAGAACAATTCCCAAAGATGGTCCTACAATATTTTTCTGTTCTTTATACGGAATGAAACACATAATGGGTATTTGGTTTCCCCGAGAACGACACTGAAAGGCGAAGAGCTCTTCCAGGGAGGAACAATAAATCAACGATGATGCCATTCATATCGAAAACTTCGTTATGGCGAGAGTGCGGTTGTTTGATTCTACTGCAAGTTTCAAAGATTGTTGCTACCACTCTGGGCAAACGAGCAACAAGCTATACATAGAGTGACTAGTGGAAAAAACTGACACAGATAACAGGCACAGCTAAACGAGTTTCGAATCATGCAAAAGTATGTCCGCACCACTGCGCCTTTTGTTGTTGCAGAGCTGAAACGGCATGTCACACATGGACSGATGGTTTTCGCTTTTCATTCGTGACATCATGTACCTTGAAATAACGTGCAAAACCAGCAGACCCAAGCGACTGCAGACATAATGCTACCAGTGGGCGGCGGCGTACCGGTTTGTATATCCATTTAGTGTTGACACCCAATGTTAAAATTAGTGAGAAAAATAGTATTCCTGCATGACAAATAACATCGTTTCTTTACACTATCGAACTCTTTTTTTTTTGAACCGAAGGACGGAGCATTTCAAAACTGATTTGAAGACTGCTCGCAAAGTGCTTTTGACATGAAGAGTCGAACGAGTCGGTCAATTTTAGTCGAACGAATCATTGACCAATGGATCGGAGTCTACAGAAGGGCATGTGTCGCCACAGAGCAGTGCTCACTCACCCCGAGACGGGTGTGTGCCTTTCCTTCTGCACGACTGAATCTCAGCCGAGGATGCGAGGCGATACACATCATCCGTTGCGCTCGCTCGGTTCCTAGAACTGAGATACGAGAATGGTGGTACAATACAAAAGCATGCAGGAACTAATACAACGAGTAATACGTACGTGTCCGTACGGATGATGCACGATCGATCGGTCGATGATCCTTTTTGTTTTTTAAAATGAGAGAAACCAATCTCTCGCAAACTCGCACCCTACGGTACTCACACGGATGTCTCTGTTCTTCACGGGGCATGTGTCTTCGTTCCGTGGTGCTCGATCCGAAACTTCCGTGGCGTCACGTCTTTTGGCATTGCATCGCATCGCATCGTTCTTCGATCACGAGACAATCGCCAGCCACAAAACACCGGCCGAGAGTGCCTGCGAGATCCTAAAGATAGCTCCGATCGGCAGCAACAACAGAACGGCAAACATTCCTCCTCGGAATCGAGAAAGCAAGACAACAGTAGCATACTCTAAGGAGAAAGTGTGCCGATCCTAGAAATGGCAGATCCCACAGATTACGCGATCGTGGCAAACGAAAACTATGTTTCCCCGACATATGAACCTGTAAGTATTTCTTGCATCCCAGCAATTTGAAAAGAACAGAAGAGAACAATGAAGAAGATACAAATGCGGGTACAAGTGCAAAAATATTGGTTTCTTTGGCAACAAAGCCAATAAAGATTAGCAACCTCAAGAAACTAAACCATCGGACGGACCGATTCTCAACTGTTCGTCTTTTCTTTGCCGCCCCGACTCTGTTTCGCGTACCTTTCGTTGTGTCGTTGCGACACGAACCGCGACGGATCCAAATCTCAATGCGAAAAAACACCGCGCTCGCACCAAACTGTAACTGCACACAGCCCCAGGCATTCCTCAACGTGGGCAGTGCCCTAGAGAACATCGTCACAGACAGAGACCGCGGCAGTGGAGACGCCGCCCCGAATTCTATACTGGCCTTTGTGGCCGGCGATCGGGCCGAGCAGGTCGAATACATCGAGGGGTTTGTCGGGATCGGGATCTTTCTGAGCTGCATGGTATCGATTTGGTTCCTGGTGCTCCTCCTGCTCAAGTTCCAGGGGCGGGACCGGGTAGGCTGCGCTGCGGGATTTGCCTTTCACGATGCCGACAGCGACACCCAGTCCGCGAAGGAAGAACGCAAGACCCGGGGAGGGGCATCGGGAACGCTTTTTCGGGGGGACGGCCAGGACGCATCGGTGGGAGCGGCCGTGGGAGCCGACGATTCGATTGCGATGGACGAGCCGGAGGTTCGGAAGAAGAAGGCCAGCGAAATCGAAAAACAGGAGAGGAAGTCCTCCTCCGGGATTTTTGCTTCGGTGTTTGGCAGAAGCAGGGATGCCTCAGGCAACGAACCGCGCTCGGAGCCGTCCTCGCCGCAACACAAAGGCGTTGTGGCTACGTTCAAGGGAGGACGAAACGGACGAAACTGGTCCGTCCTTCGGGACGACACGACAGACTATCCCAATCCTCCAGACAGCAACGGCAATAATGACAATAATGACAACAATGACAACAATGGCTACAATTACGACAACGACGAGAATTATGTACCATACGAACTCGAAGAAATCGAGCTGCACATGGAACTCGACGACATTGTGCATTCCGCGACGCGAGCAAGCGAAAAGAAAGAGCAAAAGCGGAGGAACAAAGGCAAGCCCTGGTCGCTGCGTTCCCTGCCGCCGAAGACGGTGGTCCTCGAGAACGACAGCAACGAGGATGACCTCTCAATCGAAACCAAGCTCGCCGAGCGGGAGAACAACAAGGCGTGCGGCCAAACGCCATGCTGCTCCTTTGACGCCAAGGACGTCGCACGCCGAAGGGTTGCAACGCGATGGGTTTTTGCGGTGTTTGCTTTGATCTCGCTGATCTGCTGTATCTTGTTGATCACGCACATGTACGTGCCGCTGGAATCGGCGGCCCTTACGTCGAAAGAGGTCGTTCGGGAAACCTCGGAGATTGTAGACGAACTCAACGAGGTTCTTGAAATCGTAGACGAAGCGGCCACCGTGACGGAATCCCTTCTAAAAAATACGCCGCTGGAGTACGAGTCGCTTTGCCCCGGTTTTGCAGTGGGAAACTTTGCGTCCCAGTTCGGGTTCAACCCCAAGACGGTCATCGACACAGTGGTCCAGGAATACATAAACTACATCCCCACCATCAGGGGATTGCTCGACACGGCCAAAGAGACGGGTGCATCCGTGACCGATGTATTGATGGACGTCAACAGCGGCGTCAACAACACCAATGAATACCTGTGGATCATCCCGCTAATTATTTGCGTGACGATACTGATCATCTTTAGCCAGCTTGCATTGATGGCCGCGGTGGTCTCGAGGGAACAAAGATTCAAAGACCTTCAACCGGATGCCCCGCGGGGCATCGAAGACTGCTATGGGTGGACCGTGCTACCGCTCCAAGTTCTGGTAGTGCTGGTCTCCTGGTTGCTGGTGATTCTCTGTTGTTTCGGCATTGTGATCACCACCGACTCGTGCATACCGTCCCTGGGAGCCATGGAGAGTGCCAATGCAAACATTGCAATTGACTCGCTTACGAACGGCAGGGGAACTCCGGAAGACACAATCATGGCGATTATCGACCAATATATGGAGATCGAGGAACGACAGAACGATCCAACATTTTCGCTCATTGACGACCTTGCCTATCAGCGGCTATCATCATACATTACGGGTTGCCGAGAGAATCCGCTGCAGGAATTGATTGTAGTACAGAGATTGTTGCAAGACTCCCTCAACTATGTGACTACGCAGTCGTCTTTTGCCAGCAATGTGCTGGGATTGGGCTTTATCGAAAACCAGTGCGGGCCCGACAACCAGGTGAAACTCTTTTTCGAAAATCTGGGGGTGCTGAACGGACAACTTTCCTCGGTCAACAAGGCAATGCTACAGGCATACGACGCCGTTGCCTGTCCGAGAGTAAACGCCCTGTACGTAGAAGCCGTGCACGGTGCTCTATGTACCGATTTTGCCACGGCAAGCACCAATGGATTGCTGCTGCTTGCCGTGATCTCCTTCAGCGGCATGGTGTTGATCACTCTGCGGGCCTCGTGGAGGACCTCGGTGTTTTAGGTTGCATAGCTGGTCGAGATGGAACATAAATTACGCCGCACGATGACAAAAGATGCACAGTGTTGGTTTTGTCAAAAAACAACAAACCACCGACCGACTGCAATCCAAGCGAGCAATCTGCCCCAGGAAGAATACAATATCGAGGCCTTCTCAAGTCATGATTTATTCCCTCAGATCCATCCAATTGAATCGAATCAAATACGTAGACAAAGCGTCTTTCATCATGGTTTTAGACGAAAGAGACTTCATAAATCGACCAATACAAACGAAAAATGATGAGACGAAAACGGGAGAAGATTGCAATGAATTGATTTCTCGGAATGGGAAAATGTGCACGTGTCTCGCCACAAAGTTTATCATAGTAAAGCTAGTTTTGCTGCCAATGCTATTTTGCAAGTTTATGCCTTTCTTTATTCTTGTTTTTGCAATAGCAGTCCATTTCTATAAGCTGTCCTGCCTTCTTGTTCCTGTGCCGTACTGCTCAAACAGTGATTATATTGAAACGTTCACGTATTGATGGAATCCTGCAACCATACTACGGCACAACACTGTTTGGCGGAATAAACGTATACATTACTTCGCTAACTTAACATGGTCTATAATAATGCAATTGTCTAGTGGAAAGTATAATACCAGATCGACCTCTATTGCGGTCTCGAACCGAGAAGAAATGGGAACAAAAGTCAGGTTTAGGAAATCACGCACCCAACCGATGCACTGGGGCTCTATCACAAAAGTTTTCGATCCAATCCAATCAATCAAATGCTCGCCTTGGTCAGGACCTGCATTCCCGAGTTTTGAAAGAGCAGCAGCTCTTCCAGGTCGTCCTCGGATTCCACGCTCAGCCCGGAAGGCATTTTCCCGTGCTTCAGCATCATCTTCTTTCGAAAGTCTTTTGATTCCCTAGACTCCACCTGCATGTCAAAATGGATCTTCTCGGCACCTGCATTCGCAGTCGCCGACGCTCGTTGGTTCGGAACGTGCTGTCGTTCCTCGTCGTGGACCTCGCTGTTTACGGTTGAGGCCGTGTTCCGTCGCGGGCGAGACACCAGGGCTTCCTTGTCGGCGACACCATAGGATTGGTCCATCGGCACAACACTCGAGTCCCCAAAGCAGCTACACGCACACTTGGTTACCGAGACAGAAACTGGAGCGAGATGCACATCATCCACAAATAATAATGATAAAACCAACAACCACAACACGGGTGAGTTGGTACCGAGATCGAGGGTTTCGTCTGCTATCCGCACACATATACAAATTTGCGCGTGCACGCAAGCATCCTCATCATTCATTCGCACACACAACATCCAGGACACTCACGTTCTTCGAGGCTCGAGACGAGCCGGTGCATTCGCCGCTCCACCTTTTCCGTCAGGGATTCTCGCTTCAATCGTTCCGTCATCCGCTTCGCCACAAAGGCCTCCACGTCGATCGATTTCTCTCCGTCCGTGTGGGCCGTGTCGTTTGTAAGGTTCGACGGGTTGGTCTGGATCGTAGCCGACAGCTCGTTGAGATCGTCTCCGTCGGAGAGGCGTCCGACGGTGCGGTCTCCGGGCCTCGGGTCGGCGGAAGAGCAACGCGGGCTGGCCCGATCGCTGCCGCGGGCCGCAGGCATATCGCGATGATCATCGCCCGTCCGGATCGCAAAGTCCACCCTTCCCTGCACCGCATTGATCTTGAGAAAGGTCTGGAGCACCAGGAGCTCGTTCGTGCTCTCCATGAGCAACTCGAACGAACCAAGGGAACACGTTTCGATGCCGATCGTTCTCCGCCGGCGGTGTTCTTCCCTGGAATCCGACTCGTTCTTGGATGTCTTTCGCTTCGTGGTGGCGTTCTTGCCCTCGCCGTGGGTCCAGATCTCCACAATGTCGCTGATCGGAATGGTCACCTCCGCGGGTTTCGGTTCGCTCCCGATTTGCCGCGGAATGTCGCTGTACTGATGCCTCATCGGAATGGGCCCCCTCGGACCCGTCGGCGCCCGCGTTTGCCCCCGGGTGTCTTCGGTTCGCGTCCGTTCGATCCGCGCCTCTTCCTGCGTCTCGTCGTACATTCCCTCGGGTCCCCCAAAGGAGGCAAAGCGCTTCGACAGGAGTATGGGCGTGTTGGCGTCGCATCCGTTGCCCATGCTCTGGCAGCGGCCCCGCCGCACAAGGTTGTTCTTCCGCAGAGGCGTCAGGATGAGCTCGGCGTCGTCCCGGGCATCGGCGGACGACTTGGTCCGCCGCAGCAAAAACTCGGGCGAGGCCGTCGGTGCCCTGTGCCACTTGCGCATCGTGAGCGTCATTTCCTCCGGCTGCTGCGGGCCGTTCGCCTCGTCGGGTTCTTCCGACGATTGGGACTCCCCGCCGCGCCGGACGCTCTGGGACGGAATGGAACGAAACGAAACGACAAGACAAAACACAACACAAACCGAAAAAGATCAAAAGGTAATGAAAAAAACGTGGAGCGATGGGGTGAGTGTTGGTCTCGCGGACTCCGTGTGCTCCGCCAAAAGGAGAACGAGGGCACTACTTTACGTACGCATGGGACGGACACGTCGTCGGGTGCCGAACACTGATTCGCAAAGGATGGCAGCATGGTTAATGTGTTCTCGTGGATTGGTGTCTCGGGCTTCTGACAAAGGAACTAAAATGGAAAGACTTCAATCGATCAATGCTTTGCCAGATGTTTCCTGGCTTTCTGTTCCTCGAACCCGGTGTGAGGCGAGCAAAGACTCCTTTGATGGAAAGATATAGGATGCAATAGCCGAATGTTGGAACAGGGATCGAAGCAATACAGTATCGTAATGATGTGCGTTGGAGCCGTCTCGTCTGGTTTTCGGGATCCCGCCGATAGAGCAGAACAAAAATGGACAGACTAGCCCGTACCGGCCGGTATGTAAAGGTAGTAGCACGTGACATCCTCTGCATGCACTTTTCGGTAGATCTCAGTTAGTACGGTGCTGCATAAGAGTATCGTAACTCGTACCGTGCAAGGAAGCCCTCGAACCATTATCACGAACAGATGCCTGTCAGGGAAGTGTGTCAGGGAGGAAAAATGCTTCCGTTGAGATCGCCCAGCTCATTCGCTATTGTTATTACTATATTCAGTAATTAATAATATAGTATAGGATAGCCGGCTGCCGATTTCTGAGGAAACTCACTAATAAAATAGTTGAACCAGATTTTCCCACCGTGACACGATAAAACACTATTGGGATTTAGACGCGGGTTGCCTTCTACTCCATCGCGCCGGGGGAGCTAGAAAACCGCTTGCTTCTAACAAACTCTGTGGCGAATGGCGAAGCACTATCGCACAGCAGTACGTTACTTGTAGTTGTGTACGTTCCGGTACTATGTTCCATTCACGGCGAGGGACTGTGATACACAATGAATTTAAAAAAAAAGCATTTAGTAGTAAAAAACAATACGTGGCGTATGTACTTTAGGTACCTATTACCTACGTACTTTAAAACTGTGAACGAAAATGCGTTCCCCCGAAAATCGCAATCCTAACAAAAAACCTGTATTTGTTCGTACTCTATTACAAGTACAAAAAAACACCAGCAGTCAATCGCCACACAAAAGAATAGTGCCGTATTCGAACTACGAAGGACGAAAACTGAAGTTCTGCATTGCTTGTTAGTGATAGGATACAACCAATCAGCGTTGCTGGTAACAACTAGTGAATTACTTGTAATACTTCTAATAAATAATCATAATGTCTTTTAAGTTATGTCTGAGTGGCATCACTGTACCCCGTGTAGTTTCTTGTTTGCATGAGTCCAAAAATGTACATGTAGTCGTTCAAAAGATTGCTCCTCGGGGCACTGATTCATACCCGAAGCGGATGGGCATACCCTCTGTGGCTCCATCCCTTGTTGCGGCATCCTCTGGCAACAACCCTAGCTCACGGGCGACCGCAGGGAAAGCAAATGTCCGACAGCCGAATCTTTTTCCCATCTCTCACCACCACCTTGCGCAGCGAGGAAACGTACGTCCCAAAGCTCTTGTTGTTGGGGATTCCCATGGCATCGGCGAGTTCCTCCCTTGTATACCAGCGACCGTCCAGCATAATGTCAAAGATCTGGCGGGGCTTCAACCCCTTGACCATATCTTCTCGCAGCCGGGCCTGCATCGCGTCGTTGGTCTKGGGAACGGCCACGGCATTTGGACCAACGTAGTTCCTCCCCTCTTCCGTGAGCCAGACAGTGTCTTTGTCGTACTCAATCCAGCCCTCCTTTTTCCGAATGTTGAGAAGCGTCGTGTTAAAGGATTTCTTGTTGGTAATCAGGGCCAGCCCCATGACCATGTCGCGGGAGGGCTTCTCCTCGCCGAGGCCGTGCCGAGACGCAATGGCTAGGACGATTCGATCGGTCGAGGGCATGGCCGCTTTGCTGCCTTTCTTCGATTTCTTCGCGGCGCMGGTCTTTGCCTTCGATACGGTGGATTTGGACGAGCTTTTCTTGGTGGCAACCATGGCGGAGACCGGAAATTGGTTTGCGTTCGTAGAGTTGTTGAGGGATGTCCGAATCAAAGATTGGTCGATAGATAGATAAATTGTTTTTCCACTAATTTGTGTGCAGAAAACCCAATAATTTGCTTTTAGTTTTGTTCATGGAATATGCGGTCGATGAACTATTGCACTTGTGCAGAGCTCGTTATTGCGAGCACCGGGATTTTTTCGCTAGCACACAGATTGTTTAGGTGCAGGTTTCCGGGTACTGTAACAATCGTGGAAACATTCGAACGAATCATTTGTACTGTGTCGCGTCTCAAAAAGAAGCGAGAAGCAGCAACGGTCAAACCACAGTTCTGTACCCACGACCCGTCAAGAAGTTTCTTCGGTCTCACGGGGTTTCCTTTGTCTGCGCCTGCGTGACGGAAATGCCGGGAGACTTCCACGATTTAGGGATGGCGGGACGAGAAGAGGAAACCAACGAATAGTGGTCGCAGTCGCCACGCTCGTTGTTCCGCCTTACGCGATGTCGCGCGCTGACTTTTGCCAATGTTGCTACTCCGTGCGCCGATTTCAATTTTCTGCCGAAACGGAAGGGTTGCTTTTGGTGCCACTGGCATGGCACCCATCAATGACCGAGCAGGCATAGCACAATGGAACACGCCTTTGAACTACTGGATTGAAAGCAGGTGGAACGGCAAATCGCTCTTGAAGCGACGATGGAACAGAGCCAAACCAAAGGGCGGAAGAAATAAATCCACAAGGCGAGATCAGATACAGTGGATACTGATACAAATATGCAAACAATCGATTACACCACCATAAAACGTATAACATGTTTGCTCTCAAGCTAGCAAGTTCGTCAGTTTCTCATTAGTAGGTTGTTAGYAACTTGTCTACTTAATACAGTGTGTTAAGTAGGTTCCGAGTCGCGTTCGGGATGCTCCTTGGCCCGCGCTGCTACTTCTGCTGCTCGGGCTTCTAGCAAGCGCTGTGTGATGTTGACCTCGATCTGTTCCAATTGCATTTTTTGCAGAATTCGCGCCAGTTTCTCTTGTTTGAGGTTCTGGATTGTTTGATCGGGTGTGCCATCGAGAGGTTCGCCAGATCCAGCAAGGTGGGTCGCCGGCAACGGCTCGAATGCTTTCGGCGGTTGTCCCGAAACCGCCATTTTTTGTTGGGTTCCCTTCCCGGCATTTCGCTGCTGCTGGTTCCTCCTCCTGCTGCCGCCACCACCACCGGTGTTCTCGTTCTTGTTGTAGTGTCCCCAGCAGTCGTCCCTGAGACCAAAGGCTTCCGCAAGCCTGGTCCCAGCCCCGTCGTCTTCGATGTCGACCTCGACGAGGGCGTGACTGGGACGGTCCTTCACCCAGTCCCGAACGTATTGCAGGTGGTGGTCGTGCACCCTCCCGAGGTGGTCGCGGACGTTGTTTGCCGCAAAGGGGGACAGCGGCCTTGTAGCCCCGACCCTCCGTCCACGGCCTGTCCCGGGATCGGCTCCGAACAGAAAGCGCGTCGAATTCTGGCCGTAGAATTCGTTGAGGATCTCGTATTGCAGGCCGATGTCCCAGGCGGTCACGCTGTCGATCCACGCCTCGGCGGACGATCGCTGGTTGAGAATCAGGGTCGCGTTCGGRTATTGGTCGTGGATTTCCTCYAGGTGGTGGTGCTGCGGGAARAAAATGCGGAGTTTCACGCTCCTCGATTCCTTCAGGCTCAGCAGCCTACCGTCTTCCAGCAGGGTCCGCTGTGAGTAGTCGGGAAAGTTCCGCGGTCCATTGATCTCGGTGTAGACRTCGTARTCTCCACAGTCCTCTAGTATCGGTCTGTGTGTGATCAGATTTTCCAGCATGCACCTGCTCATGAGCTTGTTGCGCACCGTCCGGCTCGGGTGGTTTTGTGGATCGCAGCACAGCCAGTGCTGGGCCTTGAGCCCGTTGCAGTGAAAAAAGGAAAAGATGGAGCTGGTTCCCGCCTTTGGAAATCCCACGTTTATGATGGGTGTTGGAAGGCGCAGAGTAGGGGGCGCTGCGTACAATCGCGGCACGTCGTCGGTGGTTGTGTGGTTTGCTGCGGGTTCGTGAGCATCGGCATCGGCATTTCCGTTTTCATTTGCACCGGCACTTGCATCCATGAACCCGAACCTTCCAAACCGATGATTTCTGTGTTGTCGCACCCACCGATTCATTTTCCAGTGCGGTTCATTCTGGTCGCGACGGTCCACCAGGAATACCTGGTAAAGAAGCGTTACGTACGCCACGAGTCCCATGCCCAGCCCGAGCTGCAGGCAAGTCAACTTCCTCTTTCGGCGTGTTCGAGCTTTCTTCCGCCGCTGCTGTCCACGGTGAAGCACAACATTGTTGTCGCCGGTCGTGGCGGTGGTCTTGGCGATGCTATTGGACTTGCTGTCCTTGCAGGTTGCGGCTCGGCGGGGGGACAGAGGCGACGACGGCTTTCCCAGAGCCATGTTCGACGCAGATGGCATGCTTGTTTGTGTGAGAACAAAAAGTAGAAGAAATCAACTTTATTCCGTAGCGGGTAGGTACTGTACTCGTACTCGTACTGGATCAGGCGCGGGGCTCGGTCGGAATTCGGCATCGTCGACTGGTACATACTACGACTTCGTTGGATAGGTACGAATACGAACATCGAAAATCAGCAATCCAATAAAATTAGTATCTCCTCTTCACTRAAGTGGAATCCAGCTATCCAGCTACCTATCGGCATCGCAATGCACCAGTACAAATAGCTTATGTCACCTAATACAGTTGGGGTTTGCCAATCCAGGGTATTTATTCGGCGAYATTATGGGACGTTACGATCAAATGAAATTTACATAGTGCGATCCTATCATGGATACAACGCTACCAAACAAAAATGAAATCAAATGCATTTCGAAACCTYAAACTAATGGTCGAAACACGAAGCTAAGACCTGGAAGTTTCAAGAAGTTGACTTGGCGTAGGGAAACACAATCCTGGAGCACCAAGCGTACGCCCGATACCGCCTCATATTTCGTTCGTAAGAATCTGCAATATCATCAACTAATTGAGTATCAACCTTCGGGAGGTGGATGTGTCGGTTCTCTGTGATAGGGCTCTCCTATTCAATTCGTAGTCGATTTGAGACCCAACGAAATGCTCGGCGAGGCCAAGATGGAAGCGGCTGTTACCAATTCTGCAGGTTTCCATCATTCAACGGTGCAATGCAGATGTATTTCCATCACAAAATTGTATTTGTTCCGAAAGTGAATGGTCAACTGCTTTGGGATTCGGTGTCTCGTCTGGACTATTGGTGCAAATGGTTTGTATAGTTTCGATGACTAACGTGTATRAAATAGTTGCACAAYTYCCACCGGATTCAAATTTCACTGRACGCGGTAAAMAATGACGCCTAAAAAGCGATAGATGTTGGAAGAAAACAACGTGAGAATCTTAATTTTGAAAAGGGTTCTTTGTCGTGTGGCAAGATCATACAACCATTCATTTCATTCATTCCCAAACAATCAACACATTCGTTAGGTGCTCGGATTGCAGTTAAAAAAGTAAGTAACCTCCATATACATCAGGAAGGGCTGTTGGGCCGGGTTGTCCTCATGGCAAACTTTCGTGTCTTGGGTTGCTGGAAAATGCACAACGAAATGAATGGCTGGTGTAGTGCACTGCGCTACAAGGTGGAATGACGCGAGGTTTGGTTTCTTTGGAACCACTTACACGGGACGTGCCAACAAACCCRGTCACTGCAAGCGCGAAAACACCTGTGTTCTCTTGTTGCCTGGTCTCGTGGCTGTGTGTTGGCTGCCGTTCAAAGGCATGTCAACAATGTCACCGATTCGAATGCAAAAAAAATCCCGGTCATCTCGTTCACCGACGAAGGTAAATTCGGAGCGACACCCAGTGGCAGATGCAAATGACAAGTACCGCTGGCAGAAACGTCAAGATACGCCAATACGGATGGTTTTCCTTCCAGTACTGATCATAAAAGACGTTCAACAAAGACAATGGCGAGGTAGTGTGTCCTTCTCTATTGTCTGCACTGGCGTTCTCGTCGTTGGAAGCCAATAAGGAAAGCGACGAGGATGCCAAGGAAACGAGTGGAGTGCAGATCAAAACGATACCAATGYAAACGAACAGGCACCCTTTCGTCCTGCCGTCGGGTTCGAACGATTCGGAGCGAACAGCATTGCTGGTGGAGGTTTTCGTGGCCTCCATTTCGACTATTTGTCCTCTTCGAACATGATGTGGCTTGCGATGGGTGCTCGTACTCCTTATTGTATATCGTGATTCTGATGATGCTGCCCAGCTGAATTCCAGCCCAAGATTCATCCCTTTCGTCTCGTGTAAAGAATCGGGAGTATTACGAGTAATGGTACGGTATCGTAYTACTTACTGTAGTCCGTATGTGCATATTTTTTTACTTGTTTGGTATTTCATACCTGCAGTAAAAAACGTGTGGTCTTCTATTACTGTGCGTTCCCGTGTGGTCAGCACGCAAGACTGCATGAAAAGGGTTAAAGTTATACCATAGGGATTTTTTTTTGAAAACCCGCGTTGTTGAAATCCGAAATCCAACACAGTTCGGGGGCCAGAGAGTTGTTTTTGTGACCCGTGTTTGATTTGATTTGACTGCACCCCAAAAGGTGTTGGTGCCGGCACGAATGTTCCAAGACTCACTCGTGGAGCAGAATTGCATCGGTTGTGCCGTTGCAGAAAAATGAAAAATACTTCTAGTGCAGTTTTGGTACGAGTACTCGTACGGCACTAGCAGTAATACTAATACTGCAGTGCGTATGGTACGAGTACGTACCCTACTCTTACAGAACGGTACGGTAAGCAACACAGATATGGCGCTTTGTTCTGTTCGAGAACACAAAATCCAAGTACGATATCGAGCGCAAAACGACAGGCCGACTGTTCCTTCAAACCACCAAGAAACGAAACGCATCCCACAACACCAACTCTTGTTTCAACCGCGGGAGGACAACGGAGCATCCATCCCCGGACACGGAACGCGGTGCTTGATTTGTATGGCCGACGGGCCGGAAGGCCGTGGTTGTTGACGACTGGTCCCATCGCTCGGTGACACGATTCGGATCGTTCCGGTCGTCGGGTGGCTGCTTCTGCTTCTGTCGCTTTGGTCCAAAGCACCCAGCTAGATCCTCTTTGTTGCTTCTATCCGGTGATTCGTTCCCGCGGTCACAATGGCGAACCAAGAAGGCAGAATCCGAAACAACAACAACAACAACAACGAAAACGAAAACGACGACCGCAATGACAATGATAATGACAGCGGCAACAACGACGACACCGACACCGATGCGACCGAGACCAGGGAACTGGAAGAACGAACCAACCGCAGCGCAAGCGTTCTTCTGGACAGATTGGTTTCGCACCTTTCGAGGCTCCCCGAGCACCGAGCCGGGCCAGCGACAGCGAACGCGGAAGACACCGCGGGACACGAAACGCGAGACGAGCCACACGACAACAGCAATGCCCGTTCCGATGCAAGTCCAAATCCAGATGAAAATGCAGATGCAGATGAAAATGCAGATGAAGATGGAAACGCAGACGCAGATATCCATGCCCGTGCGAACACGAAGGGGAGCCAGGGCAACACAAAACCCMCACGGGACACTTGCGAGGAATGCGAAGCGTCCTTTCTGGTGGAGCGCGGAATGACTCTGCCGGTTGCGGCCGTTGCCTGGTTGTCCCGCCGGTTGGAAGAACTCGATCGGATGCAGCAACAGCAGCAACAACAACAACAGCAACGCGACGGAGACAAAGGGCCGGGAGCCGGGCAACACGGCCGCGGCCAAAGGGCAGGTGGCGAATATCCGGCACCGGTAGGCCCGGTTGCAGCGGGMGGGCCGTCCCCGGAGGCTGTCGGTCCCGCACCGTGGAACGGGCCGGCCGGGGAAGCTTCCCTGCGGTCCCGCCTGAACCTGGTGCGCGGGCTCTTGCCCCGCGTCGGGCTCGTTCGGTTGAACCGCCGGCCCTGGCCACCGCCGCTGTCGTCCTCCGAGCGGCGCAGGCAACGGCTCAAACAGTGGTGGAGAACCCAACGGCAGGGGCAGCCGCGGCGAGCACCGAGCCGCAGCAACAGCAACAGCAACGACGACGACGACCACCACCACCACAACAACAATCAAAATCAGAATCACAATCACAACGACGACGACGACGACACGCTCGACAACCCCGCTGGCACCGGAGGATCTCCCAAGTACCGCGTCCGATTGGACCGGGTGTTTCCGAACGCGAACGTCTTGCTCTTGGAAGGCGTTCCACCCTCCTGGATAGACATGAACACGAACGAAACCAGGACCACCGGCACCGGAGCCGGTGGGGGCAAGCCCACCTCGATCCCCAATGATTCGGCGAGAGGCGCAAGGAAATCCCCGCTGCGCGTCTTTGCCGTTCGCAAGGCCGCCATTTACGACCCAAAGGAATTCCTGGCTCCCGATCTCTCGACAACAGGGATAACCCACCTTACGCTCGAGGGCTGTTCCCTGGGAGAACTCACCAGGGGCTTTTCACAAGCTCTCGGAAGGCTGAAAAACCTCGAGTACCTGTCCCTCCGCCACAACGAATTCCGCAATGCCAGGAGCCTGCTGGGGGGGCTGCGGCCGCTGACCAGGCTGAAATACCTCGACGCGAGCCACAACCGGCTGGAGGGGTGCTTTGGCCCCTTTGCCAACCTCTGCCTGGGGGGGCAGGTCCGGACGCTGTTGCTGAGCCACAACCTCCTGGCGACCTGCCGGAACAGCGGGCTGGAAAAGTGCTTCGGCCTGCTCGAGCTCTGGCTGGACGGGAACAACATCGGGGACGTCCTGGAGGTCTCCGGGCTGGCGGGGCTGCCGGAACTCGGGTTCCTCGCCCTGCACCGGAACCCGTTCTCGACCAAACCGCCGTCGCCACCGGCCGGGCGGAGGTTGTCCTTGATGTCGTCGGCGTCGTCGTCGGCGTCGCAAAAGACCGATTCCGGCGAACAAACGACCGATCCGTGCTATGATCCGGAGTGGAAGATCCGGCTGTGGGCGTGGTTCAAGCAAGAACGCCGGGCCAGCACCCCGCTGGAGCTGCCGCTGCTGAACCAGCACAAGCGGTTCGCGGGCCGTGGTGCAAGCAGCGGTGCTCCCATCGGCCGAATGACGAGGGACGAGTGGAACCGCGTCCAGAAAGCCTCCTTCTCCCCGTTGGAGCCGCCGGCGAGGGCCGTGTCGGCCTCGTCGTCGGACGCCTCGGATTCCGTGACTCTTTCGGAACCTCTGGCGCGAGCGGCAGCACCGGTGCTTTGGACCTCGCCCGCTTGCAACCCAAAGGCCACCAAAACGTCCAGGACCCGCAGGGCAAAGATTCGTGATGGTGGAACCACGGGGACCGGGCGCGGCAACGACACCCGTGGGAGCCAACGCGAGCGACTGCGAGGCCGGCGAAGAAGGACGACACCGAAATCGAAACCACCACGGGGGCAGGCGAAAAACGMGCTCTCGGGTCCCTCCGGTGCCGTTCCCCCCGACAAAACCAAGCGTTCGGTTTCCATCGGTTCTCCGGAGACGAAGAAGAACCACCAGCTCTCTTTTTCTCTAGAAGATGTCCTTCTATCCATAGGACAACAAGACGAYTTCTTCGGAAAGGACAGGTCCTTATTGGGTGCGAACGAGATCGAATTCCAATCGTTGCATCCAGATGATCTACACATTCCGCAGAAATACGGCTCGAACAATCCAAACAATCCGTTCCTCACAGARAACGACACAGTTCCAAAGGACGGAGAAAAGTCCATATATGCTRGCAAAGAGGAAGGCAACAACGACGAACCATCGTCGATTCCTGTTCCCAAAAATCCGAACAATCCGTTCGCAACCGAAGACGACAGCGCTCCCGAGGACGAAGGCAACAACGATGAACCATCGTCGATTCCTGTTCCCGAAAATCCAAACAATCCGTTCGCAACAGAAGACGACGAAGTTCCCCAGGACGAAGAGACTTCTTTGGATGCCTGTAAGGCCGTTAACAACAATGGCGAATCATTGTCGATTCCTGTTCCAATAGAAGACGGAGAGAAACCAGAGGGTTCCAACTCAAGCCTCTGCTCAACAACATTTCCACCAAAAAATGCCGAAGATAGAAGCACAAAAAGTAGCGAACACGAACACGAAAATTGTGACACAGAAGGAAGCAATGATTGCAAATCGACCACGACGGACGAAGCCTCGAACACAAAAAGTGGCATCTCGAGCAGGCGCTCTTCCCCGAGGAGATCGCCCAGACGGGCAGCTACGGCACCTACCTTACTAGAAACCGCTAGTGAAGACCGCATCTTTGTMAAGCCGAGGGTTGCAACCGTGAAATTGCAGCGAATGGGGAAGCACAAGCCATTCGACGCGCTGATCACGGATTGGGAAGAATTGGTGACACAGGCATCGGAAGGCCGCATACCCGATGGATTGTTGAAGGCACCCCTTTTGACCACCCGAGAACCCTCGGACGAATTTGGAATGCCTTCCGATGGCCATATTTTTACGGACAAGGAAACCGATTTGCTGGAAAGCAAGAGCGTGGAGACCATTGTCACCAAAGCAAAAAATGCTACCAATCCAGCGACTGCTTCGGCATCCACTAGCGGAGATGGATCGTTGTCGCTGTTGGATAATAGGGTTGCGAATTCTTTGCCCGAACACGTATGGAAAGACGACGGGTCTGTGCTCAGCAGCCTGGGAGCCAGCCGGGACGGCGTTGTTGCTAGGGAAAAACCCAATAAATTCCAGCTCGCCGAAGAAAATTGCTCCTACGACGGCCCCGATTCCTCCCGCGGGATGAAAGTGTTCGAGAACCTCGAGCTTTATTTCGAATCCTTTGTTTTCCCCAAGTCTGCCCCGGATCTTCCAATCGACGTTCTCGAAGAAATGGAAGAGGACGAGGACGACTGGCAACTCGTAACGATGTGCCATCCCCGCATCCAGCTCTGGCCGGACGATCGACGCCTGCTGGAGAAGACGCCCATGGCCGCGCTGATGGAAAACGCACGGATAGCAGCAAACCGGGAGCGGTTTTGCCGTGTCTGGGAAGAAGAGGTCGTCCCGTGCGGCAGACCGGCGCTGCGACGCCTCCCCCCCAACCGGAGAATCCGCCTCGGCTTTCACGGGGACCGGCTGTTCGAGGACGCAAACGTCGTCGACGCCTATTCGGAGTGCCGCAGGGTGTTGCTGTGCCTGTCGTCCAAGGCGCTGTACGTGATGCCCGACAGGGACGAGGTCACCGCGAACCACCAGCAGCTGGCGAACAAGAAGGGGAGGTTCCCGCTCCCGCTCGACCGGAGGGATCGATTCCGTGACGCACCCTGGCCACACGCCGTGGCGCGGCACTCGTTCGGAGACCTCGAGGCAATCTGCATCGGTTTCGAGTTCCAGAGGCTCACCCTCCGGTTTCGGAATCCGGGGCTTCCCGGGTCGGACCCCTTTGTGTACGTCCTTTTGTCCGGGGAGAAGCGAGCGACGGTTCGGATCCTGAGCGAGATCCAAAAACTCGCCAAGGACTGGAGCGAGAACCGTTCGATGGCGATCGGCAGGTCACCKGCGACCAACTTGGAGCGGCCGTCGGTGTCCATCGAGAACGACGCGGACGTTGTCATGGACGGCCTCGGCGGCGTCCTGGAAAAGGGCCGGGCGATCGGGACGATCCTGCACTTCCAGATCCTCCGGCAGCAGTGGAAGCACGGAGACCGCGGGACGGTCCGGCGTGTGCTGGTCATCACCGAAACGATGCTGTTGCTCCTGGACGAGGACTACGTTTCGGACGGCCACGACCTCTCCGAGGTGTCGCCTTCTTCTTCTTCCGCCTCTGCCGGAGAAAGGAGGACGAGTGCGACGGCCGACGCCGGCTACCGCCTCGTGGACGACGCGGGGCTCTCGCTCGTGTCGGAGGTCCTGGCCGCGGGTTCCGATCCGCGGGCCATCACCATCGTGATCAAGCCGCCGAGCAAGCTGTCCCGGACCCGCCGCTGGAGGCTGGTCTGCCGGGACCGGGAGGGCGCCGAGAAGCTCGTGGAGGACGCCCGGAAGGCCCTCGAGCGGTTCGAGGCGTAGCGCGGAGAGCGTTCGAGTGCAATGCCCACGACTTGCCGAGCCGACCGGGCAGCATTCTCTGCGCACGAGATCCAAYTGTGCTTTGCTCGATACTAGCACGTGCCCATCGGGCATTGTGCAGTTTCCGTGAATAGTGGGTTGGCACTGTTTTCGGTTTTGTTTCTACTAATTTCATAAGCTGTGTTTGCATCGCTGTATGTTTTTGACTACTTAACTTCATGTTAGCGCTAGTGCGACACTTTTTTTTGCCACGAGTGCTTGCAGCCCAGTATTTCTACGGGAGCTTGTCAAAGGATTCTTGCGGGCACGACCGCGGTCAGAGGTGCCACCGGCATTGCGGTGGGGTACGGGATGGGTGCCGTGTTGTGTTGTGCAGTGCCGCGCTTTCCCTACTTCTCCTCGGGCTCGAGCCGTTTCTTGAGCCTTAGGTAGTTCGCCCGGTCCCCGGTCTTGAAGGCGTGCTCCATTTCCGCCTGCAGCTGCTTCTTGCGCTTCATTTCCCTTATCTTTTCGGCGTTCATCGTGCTCCGGACCAGGCCGAGCTCGTCCCTGCGCTTGGCGGCGGCGGCCTCCTGCTGCCTCTGCAGGTGTAGGGCCTCCCTCTGCCGGGCCGAGGAGGTCCCCCCCTCCCCGGCGGCGGCGGCCTCGGCCGCTCGCTTCTTCTTTTCGTATTCCTCCATTTCCCACTTGTCGTAGTCGTAGTACTTTACGTGCGGCATCGTGGCCGTGTTGTAGTCTTCCGCGTATTCCTTGAAGTAGTTGTGCAGCTCCCACTTGGGGCCGTTGAAGCCCCCCACTCCCTTGACCTCCTCGAGCCACACCTCGAAGCTCCTCTGCTTCTGGGGGAGATCCGAGAGCTTGATGAGGCCGTATTTTCCAAAGACCGGGGGTCCGGTGTGGTCCCGTTCGTCCCCGCTGCCGCCGTCCCTGTCCCTGTCCGACTTCTTTTTCTTTTTCTTCCTGCTCCGGCGGTCGTCGTCGCCCCTGTCCCGTTTCTTCTTTTTGGATCCGGAATCTTTCTTGCGCTTCTTCTTTTTCTCCCTCTTGTCTCGTTTCTCGGACCGGTGCCTCTTTCGCCGCCTTTTCCTCTCGTCGCCGCTGTCGCTGTCGCTGTAGGACGACCGACTCGAGCTCGAGCACGACCGCGAATCGTCGGAAAAGGAGACCGAGGAATCCGAGCTGTATTCGTCGTCGTCGTCGTCCCTCCGGCGGCTCCTCCTCCGGCTCTTGCCGCGGTGTTTCTTGCGCCTGCGCCGCTTTTCGGATCGGTCGCGGCGGCTTCGGCTGCGGCGCTTGTGCCCCCGGTCTTCCCCCGGGTCGGTCTCGCCGCCGGAAGCCGAACCGGAGCGATCGTCCCCCCGCCGGCTGCCGCGATCGCGACCGCCGTTGCYGGCCCTCGTTGTGGCTTCGGCAGAGCCCTCGTCGTCCCCGCTGGTGGGCATTCTGATCGGGGTGGTATGGAATGGAATGAAATACGATGCGATGCGATTGGATTGGGTGTGCTGCAACGCCGTTCTGGGATGGCTTCGTTGTGCTGTTGTTGTTGTTGTTGTTGTGTCTGGATCATAAAACAATAAGCATAAGCTTAAGCATCAGCATCAGCCGCGGGTTTGTTAATTCACACCTTCTCTGTCCATCATCTCGTGAAAACCACCATACAATGTTTTGGTGCCGATTACGGAGCGGAGAGACCCCCTAATTTCGGCACTTTCGAACAGGCTTGTAACGGTAGTACGAGGGGGTCGTGCGCCAACCAGTCTGTCCGTCATCCTATGGCCGGATCATTATTATTATTATTATTGCTTATTCTAATATGAACCGATCAAGCGAAGACAAAATGCAAAGCGCCACAACGACTACGAGGAGCAAAGAAACAGGAGATGCGACAACAAGCATGCCTTCGGAGAGGGAGGGGTCTCTGGTGGTTGGTGACCGCAAAACATGGCATCCATTTCTTTCAGCGTAGAAACAGCAACACACTCTAAAACCCCACCTTCGACTTCCATTGCCCTCGAGACAAGAGAAAATACAGTTCTACTACTACTCGGAGTAGTAACAGCGTGAAGTATAAGCAATCTTCTTATAACAAGTAATGTACCAATCGCACTTGTTGCCAACCCTGTACTATTGTCAAACTACCAAACATAACCCTCCCTCCAAAGCAGAAGTGGTTTATGGTTGTGTGGCACGTGGAGGACAAGGCCCACCCCCTCGCGGCCAACTTCTTTGCCACAAGACAATCCGAGCGAGTCCTCGTTGCACGTTCGGTGGGACAGCTCTGCGGTGCGCGCCGTTCTATTCCAAGCTGGTTTGGAGCCAGAGTTCTTGTCTTTGTTTCCCAGCAGGAACTCGCGGGTTGCTATAGGGTCCAAACGGCGATAGCTACAAGCTACTGGCTGTTGGCAGGAGCTGAGTCCACCACCCATTTCGCGGTTGGTGCTGCTGTTGTGCTGCTGTTGTGCTGCTGTTGTGCTTGCGCTTGCGCTTGTTGCGCAGAATACTCGTTCGCTGCACTCCCTTGTGTTCCGCAGTCCGTCCATCGAAACCTGGATTCCTTCCTTCCCTCCGCGGCGCGTTACGGGCTGGGTTCGGAACGGTGCCCCATCGGCAGCCAGACGTCGGCGTGGCCCCGGACCGCCAGRGTCGCCGGCACCGGTCCCGCACGGGCGTTCGCGCACCCCGGTTCCGGTGCCCCGAGCGCGTACACCAGGGTCGAGCACCGGGCCACGACGCCCCCCCTGGCCCGCGGCCGCTTCCCCCGGTTCCAGTCGCGGATCGACTCGACGCGGACGCAGCCGACGGTGGYKTCGCCGGCAAAGACCGGGGAGACGTAGCCGACGGTCTGGTGCAGGTAGACACAGCCGGGCGCCAGGTGGGCAAAGACCGAGGAGAAGACGGTCGACACCAGCGCGCCGTGCACCAGGGGGACCCGGCTTGTTCCGGTGGACCCGGGGCGAACCAGGCCCGCTGCCTCGAGGGAGCGCTCTTGGGCCGCCAGCGCCTCGCGCAGGTCGCTGCCGTTCTCGAAATCGTCGGTGGAAGCCAACGACGAATGCAAAGGGTTGAAATCTCGAATCAGTCGGGCAAAGGATTCTACCTCTTCGCTCGTATAGGTCCGTGTCACCGTACCGTATTGTCCGATTTCCACACCCCTTCCCATGAAGGGTATGGTGGACAAAATTTCATGGTCGGCAGGAACGCGGTGGCGATGCTCGTCGCCATGGTTGCTGCTCGGCGCTTTGTTCCCGTCCGTCTCGTGTTGTTGCTTGGTGGAATGCAGCCGATGGCAGAACTCGCCATCGCGACGGGTGCCACGATGCCCGAGGACCGGCATCTCTGGCTGCCTCGGTCTTCCGTACAATCGTCCGGCATTCCGCACCACACAGCCGCTGTGAATCCGACGAGAAAGGATCATTCCGATGTGATGGGTGTGGTCTGTGAATGTGAAAGAACAACGGCGTGAGAAACGTCGGTCTGGCCCCTACACGGCCTGCGTACGGTACAATCCAGAACAAGTCCGACCTCGCGCAATGCTTGTGCCCGTGGTTTGTTCCTATCGGAATTTGAATCGGAATGCAGTACTACGGTACTRTACTGGCGAGTGGTGCTTTGTGTTTGCTTGGTTACAACTGCCATTCTCGATTCTGGATTTCTTCTGATGTGACGGAAGATCGCGGCCTTTTATGTTTGGTTACAATTATGCGGCGTACCGTACGGTACAAAAGTACGAGGCGTACCTACGGTACGCTGCAGGAGCAACTTAGAAGTACTGTAAAGGGGGAACTTTGGAAGGGGGGGTGGCTTTTTTCAGGGCACATACCATAAAGAGTTGCGAGATCTGTTTTCAGGTTTTCTCGAACTACTAGTATTTTTTTTCGTTCGAATGCCGCAGAGATTGGTCGGAGCGAACGAGCATTCCGACCCACGCTGGGGTCGGTGGCCCGATGCCTTTGCGGTTGTGCATGCCGYACAACATGCTGCTCCGTGGATTTCTCCGAGAACGGTTTTCGGATCGTGGATGCAGCTGTGATGTCGAACACGGTGGCAGGCGTGTTCTGGCATTGCGTTGGATGGATTCTGGATTTGTCCATGGCAATCAGCCTGCCATCTTGTTCTCTTTCGTTGCGATTTTCTCCCGCAGCCTGCCAAACGATCCGGACGACACCAAACAAGGAATCTGGCGTTGGATGCGATGGCATGAACACAACATAAATCACTTCTATTCCCACTCACACTCGCCTTCTTCTTAGGCAACGACTGCAATCATGGCAACGAAAAGCAACGACGGCAAGGATAGAAGCAGTTCCGACGACGACGACGACGACGACGACGACAGCACAGATTACTCCTGCTGTAGCTACGAAAGTCCCCCACCTTCGAGCGACGAAGACGACGAAGGTGCTACAAAAGAAAAGATCCGAGACTCCGGGGTCCGGTTTGCGGTTGCGAAAGACAGCAGAACGAACAACCCCCAGAACGAGCCACAACCACAACCATGCGCAAAAGCGCCCGTACTATTGCCTCCGTCGCTGCGGGCGAGAATCCGGACCGCGCCCATCCCACACACGAAAAAAAGAAAGACCAACCTCGACCTCAGGCTCGAATTCTTTGAGCGCAAGAAAAATGCCCGGAGGAAGAGGTTGTTGCCGGAGCGAGGTGGCAGCGATGGCAGCACGGACGGTGACGAGGATAGCGACGAGGTTTTGGAGCTACGGCCACGTCCACTTTATCGGACTGGCGGTGTTGGGGTTGCCAACAGCGGTGACAGGCGCGAGGAAAGCTGCGGGGCAGCAACCGCCGCTAGAAAGGCCCGCAATCTTGCACTAGCAACCCCTTCCATCCATGGACGCGGAATGAGAGGCAGAACGAACAACCAAGCACCAACGAAGAAGCGCACAGCCAGAGACAGGGAAGACGATTGCATTGGTATTGGTGCCAGGCGCAGCGACATCTGGCACCGTGTGGTTGTGCCTTCACCTTCCTTGTCCGACTCTTGGAAAAGCGACGAGGACGAGGACGAGGACGACCAGAGAAAAACACTAGAGAAGAAGCTTATAAGACTCGAGAAACGATTCGAGTTCCTCTGCAACGACCTTGGAAACGTAACCTTCGAATACTCCTTTCAGAAAGCCCTCGCTGAGGAACGCGAGCGCACCCTGTGGATCCTAGAGAAACGCATTTCCACTCTCCGTCGGGAAGAGAGATGCCGCCACGAAACAAAAACGAAGATCGAGCCAACAGAGCAGAAGGAGACGTCGAAGGGCAACCACCGCGAGGCGTTGACCCAGGGTACCAAGCACTCCGGAAGAGAAGAATCGTGTTCGAACGGGTGGTCTTGCAACATGAAACTCCACAGACAGCTAGCCAGGGCCAAGGCCAAGCTGGCCATGGGGATGCGAAACTACGATATGCTCCAGGATGCACTTGCAAAGGCGAAGGCTCGACACTCCGAACTCACCCGCCGGCATCCAGTAGAACGAGAATAGCAACAAAACACTACTACTGCTGCTGCTGCTACTACTACAGTACTTCCTAACAGTGCTATTGCAATCTTCTACGGGCAATAACCTACTAGTAGTTCTACAACTACGACCTACTCCCTCCCCAGGCCAGGTAGGGCTACTGGTCGCGCACTCGTACGGGTCGGCAGTACTAGAAGCTCAAAAGATACTTTCTCATTTTTTTCTTCTCGTGCATGTACCGTTGCAGCTCCCTGTACGCATCCTCAACACCCACGACCTCGTAGTACTACATAGTACTATATTTACGCGTTCAACGGTAGCGCGAAAGGCTTTATTTCAGCCTCATGTGCTTCTTATTCTCTTGACCCTAAAATCTACCGTTGAAAGTTGAAAGAGCATAAACATGGCTTGCTTGATTGAGTGCATCGATTTTTTTGTCTCTGATATGAAGTGTACCAGTACAAGAAAGGATTCCAACCAATACAAACTTTAGACCATGCAATTGCTTCTTGTGGATACTGTCAACAAGAATCATACTAACTCAGAGTATTGAAGAACATTGCATCATGACACCTAAACGCAGCAAAACCCCTATGGGAAAGAAGCCGTTTCTGGTGCTGACCTTTCTCCTCATATCGGTCCTGCTTGGATATCTCTCGCTCCTGAATCAGATCCACACAAATATTAGAGACAATACATCCGAAAGCTTGTCCGGTAACAATATACAGAGACTGCAAGATCGCATACAGTATCTGGAAACCAAGGTCGATTCGTACTTGGCCTACGCGAGAGACCCGTTTCTTGGCATCAAAGAACCTGCAAAGTGCAAACAGACACAACAAATGAAAAAAATTGCGTGTCCCAATCTGAGGAGTTGCGAAATAGATAATTCGATCATTTGCATGGACGACTTGCCCTTTACGATCGAAAATGCAACAGAACCGACGAAGAAGGCAACGAAAAAGGGTAGAAATGAATGCGTCGTCTACGATTATGGAATCCGAGAATCTCCCGAGTGGGGACTGACCTTTACAAAACAATGCGACGTGGTTGGTCTCGATCCTAGCCCCATCAGCCTAAAATGGTGGGAGAGAGAAGGGGCCAATATCACAAAACAACACCCATCGTACCGATTTTTGGGCGTCGGTGCCGGTGGCATCGACGGCGAAATCGTGCTCCGGGAGTAYGATTGGGGCCAGGTGAGCATCATTGAGTTTCCTACGCGGGTGGTCAATACCTCCGATTGCAATGAGGGCGGAGCCTGCAAGTACAGAATGTACCAGCAACATCCGTTTAAAATTCCCGTCCAGACGCTKCAAACGACAATGAAAAAGCTGAATCACAACCGGGTGCACTTGTTGAAACTGGACGTGGAGGGGAGCGAGTTTGCCTTTTTGGAGAAAATGATAGATGATCTTTCATGCCGTAAGGTCGATCAATTGACACTTGAATGGCACCACTTCGGTTACGATGTCCGTTACGGTGTGACCAGCAATCCACAGATCAATGTTATAGTGGCACTACTCAAGGAGAGATGCGGCCTAGAACAATTTTGGGTACACGGCTCACACGGGTGGCCGTCAAATAGTAAGATGTATACCGATATGGGAATGACCTTGTATTACACGATGTCGTCCTTCAAACGCACGAGATATATGTTTTGAACGATATTATTGCTAGTGAAAATGGGATGACGGTCCTAGTGATCAAAGGATGAAGACACACATCATCATCTCGAGGGATATGGCGAAGGAGGGAAATGGTGGTCAACGTTATCAGGAAATAATTGGTAGCATATATTTGACGATCAATTGTGGACATCCCAGTCCCGGTACATGAGAAATGAATRTAAGGAAGAAAAAAGCGAGGRAAAAAAATCGATCGCGGAAAACTGACCAACAGTTTCAGATAAAAACAGCATTATTAACGTCATTCCTGGTCTCTGGTAGAAAAGAAGGGGTGATTTCATATTTGTTTGCTACTGCAATGTGTACTTTTTTCGACTTATTCGATAGATGGATGCAATAATTCATTGTCGTAGCTTCGAATGATGTTTGGCGATATCGTATTCCGTGTATGAAAAAATCAAGAAGACCAGGGCTGGGCTGGTTCGGGGTAGTCCTTTTGCATACACGAGAATGCTATTATGAATCGTTGTAGCAGTTTTCACACATTCCTCGCTACTTTGCTTTCCTTCAAAGCTTGGATCTTTTTTGTTAATATTATCAATTGGTACCGGGGTCTCGTTCTTTAGCATCAGCGAACGTCTGATCGGGCGCGTCTTTCTTCCTGCTATGTCTGTTAGTTTGCTGTCTTCATAAATATGTATTTCGTCTCGAGGTACTCCTTAATTCCGAGGGGGCTGCCCTCGGTTCCGATGCCGCTTTCTTTCACACCTCCGAATGGCGTCGCGGTCGAGCTGATCATTCCTTCGTTGACGCCGACCATGCCCACCTCCATCTTGGAAGCAAAATTAAAGGCTCGCGAGAGGTCGTTCGTGTACATGTACGAGGCCAGCCCCACGTTGCAGTCGTTTGCAATCGCAAGGGCCTCTTCTTCCGTCTCGAAACTGCGAATGGCGGCAACGGGACCGAAGGTTTCGGTCTTCCAAATTTCGCTGTCGGCAGAAACATTTGTCAAGACGGTCGGGGGATAGAACTGGGGGCCCGATCCTTTTTCCGGCAACGCTACCTCCTCGTAGATTGTTGCCCCCTCTTTCACTGCCGCTTTGACCTTCTCCGTGATGGTCTGAACTCCTGATGCGTTGATGAGTGGCCCCATTTCGGTGCCGGGGTGCATCCCCGGACCGACCTTCAAGGTTTTCACTCGTTCAGAAAACTTGGACACAAACTCGTCGTGGATCGACGAGTGGATCAGAAAGCGATCGGCGCTCACACATGTTTGGCCCGCGTTCCGAAACTTGGCGGTCATGGCACCGTTCACCGCATCGTCGACATTGGCGTCGGCAAAGACCACAAAGCAGGCATTTCCACCGAGTTCCATAGAGACACGCTTGACTGTATCGCTAGACTGCGCCATGAGAATTTTTCCTACCCGAGTGGACCCAGTAAAACTGATCTTCTTAACGATTGGGTTGGTACAGAACTCGGTGCCTACTGCCGGGGTGCCTTCCGTACTTGCTGTACTGTATATTGCGACAAGAAAGCATAGCAATGACGATAACATAATGATTACAAGGAGGACGTGCAGCAACGGCAGCAAAGAAWACGTTTGCATTAGTTCAGAAGCTCGTGGCAAGCCAGCGAGAGTCGCAAGCAGAAAACAACGCAACGCAAAAAAGCAAGCAAAAGACCAACTCACACAATCTCAAATACACCCTCCGGAATACCTGCTCGATCGGCCAGGTGCTTGAGGGCAATCGCCGACAGGGGGGTCAGCTCGGAGGGCTTTGCGACCGTCGTGCACCCGGCCGCAAGTGCCGGACCGACCTTACGAGTGATCATCGCCAGGGGGAAATTCCAGGGCGCCACCATGGCGGCAACTCCGACGGCTTGGTTCACCGCCATTACCTGGCCCTTTGGGCCACCGCTCGGCCCCGGAAACGGGGAGGGCACCAAGAATCCGCCCCCGGCCCCCGTGGGTCGAATGGCCTCGGCTGCGTAGTAGTCGAGAAAGCCCTTGGCGTAGTTGATCTCGCCGTGGGATTCCGCCAGGGGTTTTCCCGACTCGAGCGTCATGATGGTGGCGAGATCGTCGGCGTTTTCCGTCATGAGGCTGCTCCATTTGGTGAGGAGAGACGCCCGGTGTGGCGCCGTGGTTTCGTCTCTCCATGCCGGCAGGGCATCGGAACATTTTTCGATGGCAGCCTTAGGGTCTCGGGTGGAAATCTCGGCGAGGAGCGTGGTTGGGGAGGAAGGGTCGAACACGGGGAATCTGGGTTCATCTGTAGGAGAAGAAGGATCTTCCGGCCACTCGGTCAGGCTAGGGTCCTTCAGGGACGACCTCAGGAGCTCGCTGGCAGTGGTCGGAGTGGAAGAGAAGCTCCGTACAGACGATGCTAGGAGACTGCTGGAAAGTCCAAAAAGCTTGGAGGACGTGAACAGTTGAAACCTTGGCAGCATTTTTGTTGGTTTTGTATCGTATACGCAAAATTAAAATCGGTTCGAGTTCACTGTTTGGATCGAGGAGGAATTAATCAATCAATGTTGACTTAATCAGTGCAGGTAGCAATAGTATTAACCGTTTGCGAGAGAAATGTGGAAGGAGAAAAATGAATGCACAATCTTCGTCCTTCGGTTCGTGACGGCGATCATGATGAACAGATTCTTCGTGAGATGTCTTTTTGTTCCTCGGGCATCTGTCACCTGCACCACGAACGAAGTCCAAAACAAATCGGACAGTGAAAAGGGTAAATAGGAGTACGAGTACGAGTACGAGTACGAGTACGAGTACGAGTACTCGTATCTTCCGAGAATCGTAAAGGTACGGTTGCCTACGAATCGTACGATAACGTACTACAGTACTGTATGTCATATCATTTTTGCTACGGTTCGGCACCGCACAAAGTACGAGYATTCCAACTCGTCCTCGTGGCCCGGCACAAAAAATGAGAACACAAAGGACGAGACGTGAACTAATGTTCAAAATCGGAACGTGCCAAAAAATCCAAACGTGCGTTCTATCATAAAGTTATGAACAGGGCTCTCGCTCAGGAACCACGCTCACGTCCCTCCCCTTTTACATCTGACCCTTAAAAAATTGTTTTTTTTTTGGTGTTAAAAATAACCCAGCATTTAGAAATGACTACAATTAGTATTCATAGCAGAGTACGCTACGTACGTAGTACATTTACCTTGTTTCTGACATCATGGCAAAGATCGCAGCTCGAAAAGTAGTGACGTCGAGAAAGATTTACCGGTTGAGTAAGAGTACTCGTAGTCGTAGAAAACAATTGTAGTACGAGTACTCGTACCTATGCATCCTGGCCATCTGGATTTCCGAAGAAACGCTGTGATGCTATCGTAAGAAGAACTTCTGTTCCCAACCGTTATTTTGAAGGAACTCCGTTAAAAAAATGTGCGCGATCGCGCGAAAACTGAAAATTCTTCATTCGGGCCCTCTCCGGTTTTCTTCTTCTTGTCCATGAGGACTTCCGCATTCGGAATCGCTTTTACTGTATTCAGAATTTTTTTAATATTTATTAAGTATTTGATTGGATTGAGTACAGGGGGTAGAGTTCCGTTGGTAACAATCATAATGTTACAGTAAAGTACGGTACAAATACTATGTACTAACGTGAAAATGAGACTTCAGTATTGGACACGCCAAGGTACAAAATTCTGGTTACATTTATGGTACACGCGCTGCGCGAGCTCCTCCATGTAGATTAAATATAGTCAATGTGTCTGACGTACTTGCTATAACTACTTAAAGAGACCCGATTTTAGCATATGATTTTCATTTTACCGGTTGAAAGGGTTCTGCCGGTCATTTAGAGACACCACCAACAGCTATAGAAAGCCAGGAGTGAGAGCTATATCACAGTATTCTCATCTTACTTATTGAGAAGGTTCCTGTGCGGTCATTTCTTGTTTGAAAGAGGTGCACCGAACCATTGTCAAAATTTCAATTGCTGTGTTAATAGTATGTGTAATTTTATGCATGAAAATAATTTTTAATCACGCACATGCTCATTTCCACTTTGGAGTACTGATTCTACGCGTTCTACACAGTCATATTCAATCATATTCAATTTGGGGTTAAATAAAACTATTCATGAGTGTTAATTAAACTCGAGGACACTCTTTAGGGACAACAAAAAAGGGTCATAGGTACATCTATTTGGGAACAGAGGAAGTATCACATATCTCTTCCGGAGGAAAAACTTGTTACTGTATTGTGAGCCTAAATCACGAGTGAATGATAAATCATCAGCACTTTCGAACGGGTTTGAGGAAAGGTCACATTATCTCTATCACCAGTACGATGGCGAACCCTGCATCTCTTCTTGTCTTCCTCTTCGTCTTTTTCGACTCCATAGTCAACGCATTGGCGGCTGTTGTGGAGTATAACTTCACAATAGGTTACTTTGTTGCATCGCCGGATGGCACTCCTACTACAGTTCTTGGAATCAACAATCAAATTCCATCTCCATCGATTGTTTTGAAGCAAGGAGATACTCTTGTCGTGAACTTATTCAACAATGACCCTGTTCACAGTCACTCATTACACTGGCATGGATTGACTCAAAAGGGATCTCCCGAGATGGACGGTGTGGTTGGGCTCACTCAGTGTGGCTTACCACCATCGCAGAATATGACGTATCGGTTTGTCGTAAACGACCATCCCGGAACATACTGGTATCATGGCCATTCAGGTCTCGCCAAGGTTGGAACGCGCGGTATCGCGGGAATGTTAACTGTGAAGCCAAAAGAAAGTAGCTACAACCCTCATGAGGATTTATACAATGCGGAGAGAGAACTGTTTCTGCAAGACTGGAGTCATGAAGCACCTGGAGATAGTTATCTGAAAAGTATGGGGAGCTTGCATCCACCAGTTGGAGTAAGTGCAAACGCACATTATGTTGCTCTGTTTCCGTGGGTATCTGGTTTGATGAATGGCAAAGGTATCAAGGGGCACTCTGCTACCACTAGCACCGTTAAATATTCCGTCATCAATATTGATGCAGCACATGAAAACCAAAATTACACAAAGAGCACTGATCAGCTAACTACTCCGCTTCCAACAACGGGAACAAGACTACGCATCGTTAATGGTGGTGAAGTTTATGCTCTAAAAATTTCGGTTGACAGACACAAGCTCTTGATCATATCGACCGATGGGACAGATACCGATCCACTAGAAGTCGACGCCGTGGTTGCCCACGTCGGGGAAAGATTCGATGCTGTTCTCCTTCCGCGAGAGCTCGAAGATACTTATGACTACTCGAAAGATAACGGAAACTTCTGGATTCGAGCAACAACTTTAGAAACAGACGAAGGTGTTCAGGTATGTTCAGGTTAGATAAGATCGAATGAATCCTTTCACGAATGTGTAGATTTACCGAAAAATGTACTTTGTTCGATCCGGAAAGTCCATACAATGATTGTTTATTGCAAAATAGTCAAATCCTCATCCACTCCTCTGGTTTGCATTTCAATTCTTACAAACGACTCCGATAGATCCCAAATGAAAATCAAATCTTGGGTATTTTGCGGTACGAGGGATCTCCCGATGTAGTGCCCCAAACGCATTCATATCCTGCTGCTGAGGAAGTGGTTCTGAATTGCTTCGATTCGTATTCCAGACCGTCTCTAGACAAGAACTCAAAATGCCTTCCTATTACAGCGCTTCGTACGCATTCATCTATTAGCCGTCATTACGACGCACTCATACAACATGAGCCTGACGAGACCCACGAGGTAGCGTTCGAGCATCCAAGAAGTGGAAAATATTTTTCACATTTTACGAGAATCCGTCAAAACGTCTACGACACAGAAGTTCCATCGAGAGACTCTCATTTCGATGGCGCATATACCCAATTCGTTCTTCCAAGTAGGCCTGAATATGTAGAGGACGAAGATATTGGGGATTATGTAAACCACGAGCACACCCTTTACCTCGAAATTAACAACGGCAGTAGAGTACAGCTTATTTGGAATCATCAGCAAAGAGTAGCCAATCCAATACATATCCATGGATACAAATTTGTGGTAGCAGCAACACACGAAGCCGATGTGTTGGAAAGTTGTTCGATATCGGATTGTCAGGACGAAAATGATTGGTTTGCGTGGCCGATAAACAAAAAAGTTGTTGACAATACCATTCGTGACGGCTTCGTGGTGAAAGATACTGTGGTCTTACCAGCAGGGGGATATGTTGTCACAAGACTGATTGCGGACAATCCCGGAGACTGGCTTGCTCATTGTCATATAGATTTCCATTTTTCTGATGGGTTGGGACTCATTATTCGAGAGAAAACTTTGCATAACGAGACTGTGCCAATGAGTCGGCCACCTGGATTTCCACTATGCTCTGGAAGCGATTACGAAGCTTTCGACTTAGGAGCAATGTCCGCACGCCAACCCGCGTGTAGATGCCTAGTAGACCCCGAGTTGGTGACTCGATCTCCTACTGAGGAGTGGAGATGCTCCAAAGATCATCTGTGTCGTCACGAAGCAGTGAAAAAAGAGAATAGTCCGAAGACCTCGAAAAGTGCCAATGAACAAAAGAACGGTGATAAAATACGAGGCGTCCGACATGCAAGGACCTTTAAAAAGCTCGGATTTGAGATCACTCTATCGGCAGTCATTGGGGCTACGCTTTTGCTGGGAATTGTATTCATCAATCCAAGTGACAGGAAGGTTCCAAATGAAAGTAACATGCAAAGTCTCATTCGTTTGATCTTTTACGATGAATGGAAGAAGAAAATGACTGTCGTGTATTTTGTCCAGGTCTTCGGACTCGCCCTGCTCGGCGGGGCAATATATTTCGACACTGGTTATAATACGGAAGAAAGAGTTTTTCGGGAAAAAATAGCATTTATTTTCTGGATGAGCGCCTTTTGGTCGATTAGTTCAGTTTACAGTTCGATTGTGACGTATTATTCTGATGCGTGGACAACAGATGGTTATTGTATGGTGCACATAAAGTCTACAAAAAGTTTGAATGAGATGACGGGAGTTGGGGAAGTGGGCGAAAGTCAAGCCGGAGTAGATATAATCGATAAACCGCTGCCCCGGGGAGCTTCCGCTAGAACTTTGGAAGTCATGTCTCTTGGTGCTCCAGCTCCTTTATTTCGAAACGATTCGATGATTGTCGATGGTGATGGAAAAGAAAATCACAAAGACGACCGTCTTCGTGTTAGCATCCATTCGTATCACATTACCAGATGGTTCATTGGCACGGCATTGTCCAGCCCTTTCCCGCTCTTCTTTGCTCTGGTGGTTGATTCACTCACCCAGTTGGCTCCAAGTATAGCTGCAGTCTTCCTTACTGGACTAGTCTTGTTGCTAACACAACAAGCATTTGATTCGATGGGTCGGCTGTCAGCGGAATGTGCAGGGAGGAAGTCCATCGGTCGTGCCGTATGCCTGGGGACTATCGTGTCTCAAACGCTAGTCATTGCAGGAGGTTTTTACAGGACCGTGCACCCTGTCATTTCAGCTGTAAGGAATACAAACTGACACTAATTTGTGTTCGCGAGTTTGAAATTTGCTTCTCGGTTTCTTTCAATCTGGAACATTCTTACCAACGATTTGTAATGCTGCTTTCATATCGAACCGTTACAGATTGGCCCTATTCGCTATTCTTTCTCTGCAATATCGAAGCTCCATTTTTCTAGCTCAGACTCATTTTGGTGTACTCCAGATCGTGCTAGTAAGTAAAACTAATTGTACCAAGGAAGGGAACTAAGATTGACTCCGACATCGTGAAGCATTTGACGCCATTGTGTTGCCTGACTCCTTCCTTCTTTGCTTTTCCTTTCCAATAGTGGCTTGGTATGGGATCACATGGTGCCCGCTTGAGTTATCGGGTGCCGTTGAAGACTTGAAATATCGTGGGATCAACATCATCGATTCCTACACCACACCCAGGATTCTGCCCGACGCTGTTGCTCTGGTATCCATCATCACCCTGCTTAGGGCAATGTGCTATGGCGTGGCATGTTTCAGGGCTGGCAAGAAGGCAAAATCAAACGTGCTGCGACAGGAGAACGAATCTCCCAGAGAAATTCATGAACAAAACGCGGACGAAGACACGGTCGCTCGCAACCATTCAAGGCATACAATAATAAGCATACCTGAGTACGAATGCGCAAGCTCCACATCGAGTGAAAATGTCTCAAACTCAAAAGCAAATATCAATGATAATTTTGTCCAATAGTCTAATTTCAAGCCATCGATCTTGAGTTGTTGTAGATCCAAACATCGACAAGACATGACCGACATGTAAGTTTCATTCGATCGGATGAACACAAGCCCAGGTGTGGATCATTCCTCCAATATTATTCGGACCACAAACGCTCCCACAAGGCATAATCGATGAAATACGATCAACCCAGTGTTGCACCCATCTTCTCACAGGGTCACCTCGAGTCGGCTTCGAGCACTTTGACTCCAACAATGTCTATAGCCCGACTTTCGTTCGTGTACAATCTACGAACTAAGTTGTTGTTGCTGCTGCTGCTGCCGTGCCTTTTGTTCGGCGTATTGTTTCTTTCCGTGAAAATCCTGTATGTTTGTCAGGTCCATAGATTTTTCGAAGGCGCCATGAATCCATAATGTCTCGCCCCAGCGAGAAAGTCGCAGAACTTGTTTGTACCCATGGCTTTCTAAATAAGTCCGCAGGTTTTCTTTTGGCCTCTCGATGGTCAAAATACGTATTTGGTACTCCTTGAGGGGGAACCCGCTCATGATGAACTCCTCGGCACCCTCCACGTCCAAACTCAGATAATCGATCACCTTTGGAACACGAAACTTCTGAAATATCTCCAGCAGTGTTACCGTATACGCTTTGGTCGAGGAACGCTTGAAGCGGGGACCGTTGTCAAAACCGTTCCCCGCGATTCCACCGTGATCCAGTCCATCAAAGTTGAAGTGAACGGGCTCCATGCGACTCCGCCCTACCACGGCCCCAATGATTTGGCAATTTTCTCGCGTGTGTGTAAGGTTGTACCAATACTTTGGATTGGGCTCGATGCAAAGCCCGGTCCATCCGAAATGTTTCTCCAGAGCGTACGTATTGCTCAGCATCGTGGCATCGTTCGCCGCTAGATCCACAAAGAATCCGTTTGTCTTGTTTCGGAGCATGCTGAGTATGGCTTCGTCTTGCCGTGCTTGGGAGAAAAACGTTTTGTGGCCCGGGGACAAGGATTCGTCGGAATCTGCAGAGCCGTAGAAAACCTCCATGGTCTTCCACCCCTCGCGGTGATCACGAACGGCTAGCGTTGGTTCCAACAACGGCCTGTACCCCGGTTCTTGTGCCGTGAGATCTTGCCGCAAGAGTCCAGTGCTGTGCGCCGATGAATCGACAATCGTTCCGTTGCTCAGAGTAACTCCCACCATGATCCCCCCAAAAAACACAACGACCATCGCGAAGTGTCGCAACGCATAGGCCACGACTCTCGATCTTGGGGGGCACGGAACCCTCAGGCCCTGGCCGTAGCGATGGCGGTGAGGATCGTGAAAGAAAGCATTGTCTCGCGACGAAGCTACCGGTGTGACCATGGTGAGTATTTCTCTTGCGAGGACAAAGCAGGCGCACTGCGAGGAGTTTTAAGCAAGGATTCGCATCCATTCCAAAAGAAGATTCGGGTGGTGGGAGCGACCGTGAATATCGTGGTACTCGTACGAGTACGTTGTACGAGTACGAGTACGTACGTAACACTCTCTGGGTTATCGTAATGGAAGCTTTTTTCGAAGGAACCGTGTGGGAACATTATTTTTGAATTTTGACATCACGAGCGGGCGAGTTCGTTGTCGTCACCGGACAGGATTGGTTGGATTTTACACCTGACTTCGTACTACCTCGTATTGCAAATTGCAACGAAATGCAGTGCAGTACGACTCGCACAGGACTGGTACGTACGGAAGGGGTCATAAATCCAAAATTATGACCCCCTTCAGTACGTACTGTACGTACGGTATCTATGCAAGAAAGTAGGATAGAGGTAGTAAAATCGTCCATTTTCATCCGGTTTTGTTCATCCAGTACCTGGTACCAGCTGCCAGGGGTCATGGACAAATCGTAAACCTACCGTACCGTAGAAGGTATTGAAGCGAAGAACTGATCAACAAAATGTACCGGATTCTCATCTTCTTCATATTCACATCTTCAATCGAAAACACTCCAGAGTCTAAACAACTAGATGAGTTACCTATTGCCGATAATACTACTAGTATGGTATTCGTAAAGTAATACGAGTAGTATTGTAGTAGTGCTTGACGTGAAACTCTCGGATACCTCATTCATAGTAGCAGCCACTAGTACTAGTAGTTCTTGTTGGACAACTTCGAGCTAATACATAGTAATAATAGTTGCTCTACCACGGCTTTCGGATCCCCTTGCTGTTGGTTCCGTAAAGAGAATCTGGGTGTTTGGAATGGTGCTAGAGGGAAACAGGTTTCAGCGACGGAGACGGAATTCATCTCAACAGAAGCGCCGGCATCGCGGCGCGATGCTAAACGCGTGCAGGGCTACAAGGTTGGCAATGTGCATGCCGAATTTTTAGTGACAAAAAGGAAATAACATTATTTAGTAGTGTAGTTCGTTGTATTTTTTTGTATCGAGGCGTCCACTCCATTCCGTTCCTGCCAATCGTCAATCAATCGTCGCGGCCGTTTTCATACAAAAAGCCGCGTTCGTGCCCGGGACGGTGCCGTGGGCAGGCATCCGTCTTTTTTAGCGTTCCTTGTGGTTTTGTGTGACTTCGCTTATTTGAGTTGTTCCTKGAGGATGGGGGTCAGGTATTCGGCAACCTTCAGCGTGTCGATGGCAATCTGGATGGTGGCGACACCCTCGGCAGGCTTTCCGTCAACGGTGTGCTTGGCGACACGCTCCTTGACGGTGATGTAGTCGGGATCCTGGGTAAAGAAGTAGGGCATGGCTGTTGGGTACTGAGCTTCGAGTTCCTTGACGTGGACCTTGTCCTCCTCGTCGGGCATGTAGTAGCGGAAGACTTCCTCGCCACTCGTGTCCGTGACAGTGGCGTACGAGTCGGTTCCTCCGCATCGGTCGGCGGCGACGGAGACCTCCTTGCCCGTCTTGGTGGTAATGGTGAACTTGATCTTGTCAAAGTCCGTGTAGTCGTCGCCGCTGGGTCCCTTGAGGGTTTGCAGGGAGGAGAATTCCTTGTCGGCGACGACGCTCTCGATGTTGTCGACGGTGACGTCGTAAAAGCTGACGAGAAGGGCAAGTTCGTGGATGGCCATGTTCTTGAGCATACCCTCGGCGTTTCGCTCGAAGCATTCTCCGAGCGATTCGGGTGTGTTTTCGTATGCATTGTTCGAGACGAAGGTGACATGGGATCCCTCAACGGTTTCCGCAAATTCACGGGTCTTGCGGACGTACTTGCAGACATTTTTGTTGTATCCCATCAGGACCTCGACGCTAGCGGCATCGGCCTCGTCCTTCATGGCCTCGAGCTCGACGACGGTGGGGGCACCGGGCTTCTCGAGGTAGATGCACTTGGCTCCGTGGGCGATGGATTCGCTCAGGAGGCGTGGGTTGTCGGCGGTTCGGCCCGAAATGAGGGCCAGGCGGGGGGCCGCGGGGGGAGGGAGGTCGTCGAGCGAGACGGCAAAGCCAGTTCCGTACTTGGCCTCGGATTCCGCCTGCCACTCACCGAATTCTTTTCCGGCTTCCGAGTCGGCTCCGGCTCCCATGAACCATGGCTCGACGACGTAGTCGAGGGAGGCGCTCGGGCACCTGTCGTTGGTGGCAAGAGAAGCAGCAGCAAGCAAGCGAGAAAGAAAGGACAGCGCAATGCAACGCAATTCAACGCAATTTCGGTTTGGTGAGAATCGCAAAAAGAAGCGCCTTGCAGAAGAGTTCTCGTTACTCGACCAAACGAAACAATAGGCTGTCGTCATTCGCCTCGTGTTTCGTCGCTTGACACCCCGTGAAATTGCACAAAATTCACAGAAAGAACTATTTCAGCTCCGCACTGGCACCAAAGATCCATCCCGTTTCTGGGAATGCCGACAAATTCAAGGTGCCTTGTGCGGGGCGGCAGCACCGCGGGGGAAAGGGCAAACGACGGTCGGCTTGGCTGCGGGAAAGCACGGACCCGGGGGCAACAAAAACGACCAAAACGGGCAACTTACTTGTCCTCGAGCATCTGAACGGCGTGGTACCATCCCATCCCGCGGTTAGGGGCTCCGCATCCAACGAGGATCACCTCGGCCTGGCCGTCCTTGGCGAGATTTGCCGCGCTACCGGAATAGGCACGGGTGGCGGTCTTGGCGACGGCATTTTTGTGGACGAATCCTGCGGTTCTTCGGGTGGCGATGGAAAACATGGTGGTGGCTGTAGCAATAAATGTTTGGGAGGATGAGAATTTCATGTTGTGTGTCAAAAAAAGGTTGTTCTTTTCGTAGCGTGTCTCTCGGCGATACGGGGACGGAGTTGGGTGTTAGTAGTTGGGAAAAACCGTGTAGGCTCGTGTGGAATATTCGTCAAACGTTCGAAGGAAGAAGATACGAACACAAAAATGTGGTGGCTTGTGCAACGTGGAAAATTATGGATTGTGAGAAAAGGGGGACACACCGGATTTTTGAAAAAAAACTTACTTTTTTGCTTCCGCTCCAAAAGGATTCTCGTTGGAGCACGATTGCGCGTGGTTTTGGCGTAATGCCGCGGGAAACCGAACCGAACTCTAATCTTTTGTACGTTATCCCCACGTGCAAGATAGGACGAAGAATATATCCATCAGCTTCTTCTCCGGTTTCTGCCGGCAATATCGCTAGGAGGAGAAGGAGCCTTGTTCCGGAAGAATAAATGGAACAGGTCCAACAGATGGAAATAGGATTCTATTGTGGGATGTCTATGAGATCTCGATGGAAATCACTGGTTGCAGCCGTCGCTTGTGATGTGCGGAACAAGACCCGGACCAAACAATCGTCACACCAAGGGGCGAAATACTTAAAAACACAAGGAACAAAGTACAATACTTCGGTAAGGTACGTTGCTCGTATGCCTGTGGTATCAGTTGGTTCACAACCACACGCACAAATCATCTGCCGCCGCTCTTCTCTGGGGATACCAATACGCGTATCGCACTCGTAGTATCGCGTCGAGTCGCGTCGCATTGTGCGGAACTACACTTTACCCTTCTCTGAATCGTACCGTACAAATCGATCCAGAAAAGGGTAGTGTGTGGTGCCGAAGTTCCCTCCCCCCCCTAACTTCCATCAAAACCTCTTTGTTCGGCACAAAGCCCCGGCCTTCCGCTCCTTTCCCGTTCTCGTGCCGCAACCGAATGGACAAAGGCCAGCACCACGACGAACCGCAACGAACCTTCCAATGGCCGGGCATCGAACTGTTCTCTTCTCCTTTCCCAGATCGTCAATATTTCGCGAGCGAACAAAGAACAACCAGTGGCTGGCTATGAGAGAATGGAATTCTCCTTGAGGATTGCGGCGATGGACGAATGATCCGCCTCGCGTTCCCTGCCCTTCGATGGTGCGATGGACCTCCAACCATTCCGACGATGAATGGATGGATTCGGTCGCTCGCTGTCGAATGTAAGGCAAGGTAAGGAAGAATGCCTTGGGTGGCAAACCGAGACTTGTTCGCGCGGAGGCCTTATGACGCCTTGACGATCCAACCCACGGGTGCCGTCGTTCTCGACAAGCCGACACAGATGGTGGGCGATCGATCCCGTCCCCCCGAGTCTCCCGGAAGATTCGTGGCGGTCAGTGCCACACAATACGATGCGATGCGATACAATTCCTAGTCTGAATGACGCGAGAACGGAACGAAATCGCGCCAGGCACCCATTGATTAGGGGTGGGGAGCGGGAGGACCGCGGGCCCTTGCCCGCCGAGAGGCATCCCTCCACGATATGCGACCCGCCAAGTACAACAATGTGAGGTGCACTGGCAGCAAGACCTGTGGGGGGACCGAAATAGTGCTGCCACGGTCCCCCGAAAGTCTTGCAGCTGCTAGCGCTTCGAGAACTCGACGAATTCGAACCTGATCCCTTGTACTGTATCGCGAAGCTATCTTTTTCAAAATAGCTATGCATTGATAGAGGAAGACTGCCTGGACAGGTGACAGGGTGGGAAGCACTCGCACAAACCAAGATTCTAGGCCATGAGAGCACACCTTGTGATCCCAAGGAAAGATAGCACAACGAATTTACTCCCATTGTTGAGAAGCTTCGACGAAAATTTCCCCAAGACTCAGCCATTCTTCTGGTTGACGACGTTTCCAAAGGAGGAATCTCCCTCAACTACAGCCATTCGATTCTACCAGGAAAAATAATGCAGAGGATACCCATCATAATAGTATATTCTATTTTTGGTTATCCAACAGCTTCCATTTTATTTCTTACGCGGTTGCCTCCGGAGTTCTATTGCAGTGCATTCTTAGATTCCCACGACTCCTTGGCCATCTGCCGCAGCGCCTTGCTGCTTTCGGCGCCCGTGGCGTCCACCAGCTGCGAAAAAATACCCTTCTCGTCGCCGTCGCCGCCGCCCAGAAGCTTTGCCGGGGCGTCGAACTCGGCTGCCTTGCCGGCATCCATCACTAGGACGTAGTCGTAGTCCATGATGGTGTTCAGCCGGTGGGCAATCGTGACGAGGGTCGTGTTGGGGAACCGCGTCCGGAGCATTTTCTGGATAAAGGCGTCCGTCTCCCCATCGATCGAGGCCGTGGCCTCGTCCAGGACCAGGACCTTTGGCTGGGACAAGAGAGCCCTTGCGAGGTTGAGGAGCTGGCGTTCGCCGACGCTGTAGTTGCTCCCGCCCTCCTCCAGTTTTGTGGACAGGACCACCTCGACGCTCGGCGGTGCCACACCGCTGTAGCTGCTGCGGCCCATCCGAACCGATTCCAGGGCCTCCATGATTTCGTCGTCCGTTCGCTGGCCGAACGGATCGAGGCATTCCCGGAGATTGGCCCCCGCCAGAAACGGATCTTGCGGGATGATGGACATTCCCCGACCCCGGACATCCGACAACCCCAGGGTGGTGAGATCCACATCATCCAAAAGCATGCTTCCCGATTCCACCTCCACCAGTCGAAAGAGTGCCACCGTTATGCTAGATTTACCCTGCAACGGTGTATGAAACGAAATGGTCGATAGAGATGGCATGAGTTGTTCCGCCAAAATTGCAGCGCAACGTTCTTCGAATAGGGGTACAAGGCAAACAGACAATACAAAAGGACATAGGGTACAGAGCACACGGCACACAGCACTCCTCAAAGCAAACGTACCGCACCGGTTCGTCCAACGATTCCGCACGTCTTCCCGGCCGGGATCGCAAAAGACAAATTGTCAAGGGCCAGGGGCAGTCCCTCTCGATACCGGAGGGATACATTCTTGAACTCCAGGAGTCCCTGTTCGGGCCAGCTCGTCGGAGGGAGAAATTCCTTTGCGGTCTCTCTTGACTTCTCCGACGGCAAATCGGCCATGGCGTCGACGCGTTCGATGGCGGTGATGGCGGCTTCGGTTTCCGAAAAGGTTTGGACCAAAAAATTGAGCGTAATCGTAAAGTTTGCGCTCCAGGTGATCAAAAGCCCGGCCAGACCCGCACTCAAACGCATTGTTTCGTTGAGACACACAAGGAGAACAGTGGCGATCATTACCACGACGGAGCCAAGGATTTCCATTCGCAGACTCAACCACCGTTGCACCGAGATGTAGTTCAGCAGGGCACTGCTGTTGACGTCGACGATCTCTTCGAACTTGCGTACAAAATTCACTTTTTGATGGAAGATTCGAATGCTGGTGGATCCTTCCAAGCACTCCGAAATCATGGATTGAATCGGCGAACGGCTCAGTGCATCGATGCGTTGTAGATCCGGCCCGGTCAGGCGATAATAATGCATAAACAGCAGGTACAACATGCTTACGGGGAACAACGCCAGGGCTGACCATGGAATAATGGCGACTTGGACTGCAATGCTGGCAACATACCAGCTGCAACTGATAATGAACATCGAGATCTTTTGTGTCAGCGTCACGTCGTTGACGTCCGTGTCGTAGGTAAATCTATTCAGGATCCGACCCATTGGAACGGTTTCGAAATACGACATGGGGGCGCTCAGTACGCTTTCCAGCATGCTATTGAAAACATTCTTGGTGGCACGGACTCCTCCGGTAACGGCAAATTCGGATCGGACCGCGGTTGCTAAGAGCGAAACCAGAATGATGCTTGCAAATACCTTGAGATATTGTGCCTGTGCTTGTAGCCCGTCCGACTGAGCATCGAAGTCGACGCCGAGAATGGTGACGGGCTCATATGCACCGGAAGTCCAGCTGGCCAGGAACCATTCAACAGCAACGTAGGCAAACCGGTCAAGAAATAAAAAGAAGAAAATGGTCATCCCGAACCAAGCTCCTCCGGCTCGCTTAAACCATAGGATCCAGGTCTTCATGCTTGACAGGCCGTGTTCGCGAAGTTCCTGCTGCATGATCTTGTTGTCGTTGATCGAGGACGACTCTTCTGGCTGTTGTTGGAAGTGATGGCTACTTTTACCATTTTTATTGTCAAGATTCGATGAAGATGAATCACCCTCTTTGGTGGCTGTTGATTCGTGGTTGTGACCATCGGTGTTTTCACGAATCTGTGATTGAATGTGATCAACAGCCCGCCGTGTCTGATCGTCATGCTCCTCGTCATTGAAATGGGTCAATTCCTCCCAGGTTCCCAGGAATTCGTTGCGGCCGTTCACCATCAGCAAGACCTTGTCGACGGCCCGGTGGCTGATAAAGTGGGAGGCGTGGGTGACCAGCAAGACCGCCGAGTCCCTGAGTAACGCATCCGGCCCTGCAATCAATTGCTCGAAGACAATCTTTCCAGTTCCGGAGTCCAGTGCCGAAAAAGGATCGTCCAGAAGGATGCAGGACGAGTCCGGTTGCTTGTAAGCCGCCCGTGCAAGCGATACCCGCTGGCGCTGCCCCCCGCTCAGTGTGACACCGCGTTCTCCGATTTGGACCAGGTCGGATCCACCCAATTGCTCGATGTCTGGACGCAAGGCGCACGCATCGAGGACCCTGTTGTATCGCTCCACATCAAAGTCGGAACCAAACAGAATGTTTTCACGCAGCGACAAGTTCAAGATGAAGGGATCCTGAGGTGCATAGGATATTCGACCGTTCTTTTGCACCATGGGCGTAGAGTAGGTGGATGCAGTTGCTGATTCCGACCAGTTTGGTCCGAGTGCTTCGGCCTCGTCTAGAATTCCGTTCAGCAGGGTCGATTTTCCAGATCCTACCGGACCGCACACTACCATAACTTCTCCCCTCCGCAACTCGAAATTGAACTCGCTGACCGTGAATGAAAGATTGTCGCGGTTTCCATTCTCGATGTTGTTGTTGTAGTTTTCTCCGAGGCTGGTGCTTTGGTCAGTAATATTCTTGATAGCCGCTGCATCACTATTGTTGTCGACATTACTATCGGTTTCGTTGTCATTAACGATGCTGCTGCTCTCGGTGAGATCTTCCGGAGCAACTCCTACGCGAAACCGGCCATTGGTCAAAATCAGCGGGATGTCTTTGTTGTCTTTGTCGCCGTCGCTCTCGAGCAACCTGAGAGAGCCTGTAGGATCTTGCTCTTCCCCTCTGCTTCCGCCCTCCCGGAGAGGCCGGTCCAAAAAGGCGCAGATCCTTCGCGTGGCGCTCAGGGCCTGCGCCGCGCTTCCGATCAGTAAGCCTGCAAAATTGATGGGAAACCGGAGCGCACCGAACAACAAGAGAACACCAAAGGTGTCAGCGGCCGTTAGCACCCTTGGCTCGCTCTCGGTGCTCGTCAAAACGTACGTGGCAAACGTAGAGGCCATGGCTAGAATGGGTGACGAGACCGTCATCAGCAGTGTCGTTGCCCACCAGGCCTGCTCCTTAGCCAGCCACCTGAGCTCCTTGGAACGGGCCTCCTTGATGCGCGCTTCGTACTTCGACTCGTACCCGTTGAGCTTTGTTGTTCGCATCCCCAGAAGCATCGAGCAGGTGATCTCGACGCGATCGTCCGAGTACTTCAGTCGCTGCGCACGGGCCTCGGTCATGCGCTTCGTCACCAGCTTGATGAGCGGGAGGAACCCCACCAGCACCACCACGCCCACGAGCGTGGAGGGCCCCATCACCAGACACAAAAACCACGTGACAAGTACTACACTGAGGGGTAGAGCCCAGATCAAATGACCTTCCTGGGTAACCTCGTAGAGTTTTTGGGCGTCCACCGCCACCAAGTTGTTGATTTCCCCTGATGTCAGGCCGCGTTTTCCCCTCGGGGACAGCATCAGGACGTGCCGGTAGACCATGTTGACAACCGCACTCCGGAGGGCAATCCCCGTCTTGACAGATTGGTGACGATAGCGCTGTGTGGCGAATCCATTGAGAAGGGTCATGACCGTCAGCAGAATCGCCCAGCTGAGGCCCTCTCTTAGGATGCTGGAACCGTCGGTGGTTTCCTTCTCGAGAATGGACAAGAAGCGGCGGACCACGAGGGGCATGACCGACACCAGAACCGTGGAGACAAACTGAAAGATTCCAGCTGGGAGAAATGTTGGTGTTGCAATCTTCCACAGTGTCTTCATGAGCTGGCGCTTGGTAGTGGTTGCATTCGGAGAAGTACGAGTGCGAGATGCGTTTTTCCAATTGGATTCAAACATGTTCACCAACCTCGTGGATTGCATCTTTCGAGGCACGGGCCACAGATCATCCGAAGTGAGGTGTATGTCTTCAACAGCGCCATCGTCATCGTTTTTGTCTGTATCGGAAGATGATGATGGGTCGTGGCTGTCTTCGGCGATGTTTGTGTTTGGCTCATTGCTGTTTCTGTTGTGTTTCTGTTTCGCCGACGCTCCATTAATGGCGGCGCCCTTGCTCAGGACGACATTCATGTACGAATAGGTCCAGTTGTTCCATATCCGCGTCATCCACCGTCCGAACGACAAGGCAAAACCCTCTGGCGCATCTCGATCATAGTCTTCGGGCCATGTTCGTTTTTCATGCGCAGGTTTGGCCCTTTGGAGTGGTTTGGTTTTCCCCTCACTATCTTTCACCGGAGTTGCCGCTGGTGCTGGTGCTGGTGCTGCATTCGAGCCCATGGTAGATCGGGTGTTATGCAATGCAAGACAGGATGTTTTGGCTTGGTGCAAGGTTCAATCAAGCTACTCTTACATTGCCCGTCACTATCTATTGACGTCTGGCATGGATTTATGAATTACGCAAGCCATCACTTTTTCATTCTTCGCTCGTCGCGCACCAGTACAAGAATGTACTACCTTACCACCCTGTTTTCTGTTTTCTTGATAACACATAAATAATATTCTTTCTTGGGGTTTCTTGCTGAGTCGTCGTACCGAACATACGGCAGGGGTCTAAATTTATGACCCCTGACATACGGTACGGTGTGATTAATTAAAAGTACTCGTACGGTGGACAACAGAACGAGATTATTTTTTATACTTACTCGTACCTGTACGAGTACCTGTATGAAATATTAATTAATATCTGAAACATGGTGTGTGGTTCGGTTCTCAAATTGGCACGATTACAGTCTTACGACGGTTTGGATGAAAGATGACGTGTAGCGGTACGTGTACCGTAGGACACACACCTCATTTTCGGTATAGTATGTATGTTTAATATATATACATAATACAGTCGTACTTAACTCACCGCATGACTCAGGGCCATTTGCCATGTGCGATGCACAATTTCATAGCACTGTGTCGTGGGATTGTGGATCTTTTCCAAAATTGAATTTTAATTGAACTTACAGTAACGCACGATTTACGAGTTGTTTACTCTGTCCGACAGGTACAGTTCAGTACAGCAAAATAGTACTTATCGTACGTATTGACTTCGAAGACTTCGTGCTTTGTGAGAACCGATGGGAAGAAAACTCGGGATCAATAGATTCACCGCCATCAACAAAATCCAATCACTATCCATATTGCCGCACACCTTCGATAACGTCTAAGAACGGCATACGACGAGAAGAATTTAGGAGAATATTTTCACGATGAAATTATTATCGGCATCCGCATTTATCCTTGCCTTCGCCGGCACGACGTCTGGATTTCAGCAACCGATGCCACGGCCTTCCTTGCAACAAACAGCGACAGTGCAAAAGTCGCCAGTGAATGAAGGGGTGAACTCGATGGTTGCCTCCTCGAAGCGGCAGCAACAAACGCCCCCGAGCCTCTCTGCGGCGAGCACGGCTACACCGGAAAGCAACGAAGACCGCGTTCTGGACACGGAAGCAATTGCCAAATACGCCGGCTCCATTGCCATCCAGATGCTCTTGTTCAAGGGATTCTTCACGGGGGTCGATTTCCTGGCATCATCGGCGAGTTTCGAGATCCCTTTTGCTGCCAACTTTTTCCTCTTCTACTTCTTTTCGCTCAAGTCGCGGGTCTTCAATCCCATGTCGAACCAGCGCCCGCGCAGGGACACGAAAGAAATCGACGGCGGCGGCGAGGCAGGAGCCGACTCCACCCCGCAGCGCAACATGCCGGAGTGGACGCCACCGGGAGTCGTCTTTCCTATCATGTGGATCCTGATCATCGGTCCCCTCCGTGCAGCCTCCTCCGCATTGCTGGTAACGAACGGAGGCGCCGGATACGCCTCGGACGCCATTCTTGCGCTCATGCTGCACCTCTCCATTGGGGACACCTGGAACACGATCAACAACGTCGAGCGTCGCTACGGGACCTCCATGGTAGGCGTTGCATGCGTATGGATGTCGGCCGCCTTTGCGGCCTACTCGTACGGACAGGTCGACCCACTTGCCGGAAAACTGCTTAGCCTGCCCCTCGTCTGGCTAACGATCGCCTCCTCTCTGATTGTCCGAACTTGGCAGCTGAACCCATCGGATAACGGCGAGAAGGAATCGATTTTACCGACCAAACCAGCTTCGCAGGAAGGAAGCATCACGAAATGGGCCTGGTTCGAAGGAACGGACTAAGCAGAAAGGGAGACTAGGTTGCATGTGCTATCCAACAAACAAACAAATGAAAAAACCTTTTTGTGTTAAAATAGAAACGTAACCCAAACCAAAATAAATAAATCAAGAACAAGCAATATGCTGCTGTTGAACCCAATATCTGTGCGCATTTATGTGCGTAGTAGGGAAAACATATCGATTCGGTTCGGATGAATTGTATTGCAGTAATATCGGGTTTGTACCATTTCTCCACGAGAGAAAAAAAAGGAATCAATCAGTTTTCATTTTCGATTCCGCAACCAACACCCATTTTTGGATCATGATGCTTTTGTGTCATACGAGCGAGGTGGAATATTTTGGCCACTCGTCAGTAATGTTTGAAACAATGTAATTCGACACCATACTCTCTAGCAATGGACTTTTATTTTTCAAGGGAATACAATGTTTTAACCCGTACAACTTTGTCGACTTCGTGGTAGTGCAATGACCTAGCTCGATATACTTCTTGACAATCAGAGTGTTTCAATTCTATACCTTCCAATGCAGATTGATGGATGATGGACATCAATTCTGCATTTGGGACATCTACAGCTACAGGCTTATGTGATGACATCATCAGGATCATCCCTGATGAAACAGTGGATCAGTGCTCAAGTCTTTTGTTATCTTACTTTTGTTGAAAGTAATTTGCAATGTTGCTTCTTGAACCCCTCTTTTGTTCCTTCTCCTCTCCTCCAACAAGAAGTGTTGATGTATTGATTCCTGATACTCATGCTGAGGCAATAACAAGAGTTTGGCTAAGGAATTCTGTCAACAGTAAGAAGGAGGAGCAAGAACTTTTACTATGTGTCTTTGGTAACCTTAACATTCTACTACTTCACTCGCTACCGCTTTTGTTAATCCATTTTGGCTTGAAAATAAAAAGAAGGATTTGGTAAACTACTAAAGATAGTTAAAATTGCACCTTACTGGTTGGCAGAAACAAAGTGGCAACAAGAAGGAACAACAAAATATAAAATATACTAGTAGTAGTACTACCAACAAATGAAATATAGTTTTGTCAGCAGTTAGTATCAACCCCAAAAGGTTTGAAAGAAAGAAAATGATATCATCAGTATCAGTCACATTTCAAACAAGAAATCTGAAGTACCTACTTCAGTGAAATTTCGGTACAGGTCAGTTCTGAATGATAAGAGCAACCTGGAGGTTAGGATGAGGGTAGTAGTATGAAGGTGCAATAAATGGATCATGTGTATCGATGATGTAGGCACTATTGGCGGCGTATGACTCAGCCGAAGGGAAACCGCGAACGATAGAAACACATGAAGACACAACATACAACATGTGACCAGTATTAGTACTCGTCAGGACTGTTACAGTGAAAAATTTTGTATAATAGCACCAATTACAGTATTGCCCCGTGCACAATAAGTGGTCGTAGTAAAGGTGAAAAATCAGCGTTCATCTCGCTCTATGCTAGTACGATCGCACGGCGATTTCATTTGAAGTAAAATATCAATTTCTCTTCTCCGGAAGAAAATGAGAAAATAGGAGGATTTAAAAATAAATACAATATCCCAGTAACCTTTATTGCAGCGTTCATAAGCTCCTCAAGAGCAATATTAAAGCCGTCTGTCTTCTTTTCTCCAAACCCTACCGTAAGAAAAAGCAATTTAATGGATCAGAATTCAGTCTTACAGTACGAGTGCGCGATGGTATGAGTACGTCGATAGCTTTACGAGTAAGGGTAGCAGGTATGCCATTCCTTGCTTGTAAATAGTCACAGTAATAGTTATCCTCTTCATAAAAACTTCCAAGAAGTTCGTTGTGTAAATCGCCGATGAACTTATTGAACTCTACGTGGGATTCAATCCTAGAAGTACTGCTACCGGTACGTATGGAACCGTATTAGAAGTACTACAAAGGAGCACAAAAAGTAAAACTAAAAAATTGATAGTAATGATGATCGTCACTACGAAAAGAAGAATTAACTCATTTCCTTGTTTTACAAATAACAAAAACTCATTTCAACACAAAACAATCAAATTTAAAATGACAAGAATTATCAAGAGATCTCGTAGCACTACGGCTCTCGTTGTCTTCCTTTGCGCCGGATTGCTTCTGGCAGTAGGAGGGTTCCAACTTGACCAACCACGACTGCAACGTCACCGAATCCGTGGACCGAAGACGGCGGTGGCGGATGGTCAAAATCCAACACGAGTTGTGACGAGACCAACGACGAGCAGCAATACCTCGCTTAGGGCATTCCCTGCCGCGGCGGCACTGAAAGGAATTAGCCATTTCTTTCTCTCTCCAGCAGTTTCGACGCCTTCCAAAATCCTGCGAGTGGCAGGCCTGTTTTTGGCAGGATTTTTGGCAGCTTCATCGAGACTCCGCCACCGCGTCTTCTGGCCGGGACTGACCTATCCAAGCAGCGAAAGCAGCGAGCTCTTACCCGGCCCACTGGGCTGCCCCTTCATCGGATCCCCATTTATGATAGGCAATGAGGCGTCTTATGGAGCGGGAAGCTTTTACCGAAGGATTTCGAAGAAACTAGGTGCATCCCTCGGAAAGGTTCCAAAAGTTTGGAAATACTACTTTATGGGAAAGAATTTCGCTGTATTTGGAGGAGGCAAGACTTACCAAAAGATATTATCGATGGAGTTTGACGGTTCCCTCACCAGCAGCGGCGTCGATTTGTTGGACGGAGGACTCATGCCAATGAAGTCGTTATTGTTCGAACGCGAGAAAAAGCGCCATTCCTACTTGAGGCGTCTCGTTGGAGCGGCGATGACCCCGGCGGCTGTTTCTCAAAGCGCATCAAACCTACAGTTAGCAGCCGAGGAACAGGTCTCAAAAATGAATGATGCTATGGCCAATGATGGGGAGGTCAGGATCCAACAAATCTGCACCGACTACACGCTCGATGTGGCCTGGCGGCAGATTTTAGGCTTGGAGCTTCCAGAGGAAGAAATTCCCTATTTTGAACAGCAAGTGGCCACCTGGATCGAGGGCATTATGTCGTTGCGGATTCTATTTCGCGTCGGAGTGGAATCCTCTCCAGGTTATAAGGCAAAACAGTATGTATCATCGAAAATCGAGCAACGGATTGATGAGTTGTTAGAGCAAGGGCCGGATAACAAGTCAACTCTCTCCGGAATGGTTTTTGCAACCGATGACGAGAGCGAAAATGGTAGTAAAGAGGGGATTGGAAAGAAGCTGAGTCGCCAAGAACTCATCGACAATGCACTCATTTTGATTTTTGCCGGATCGGAAACGTCTGCTAGCACACTGACTAATGCAATGCTCTTCCTTGGACTCCACCCATCTGTCTGGAGCAAGCTGGTACAGGAACAGGAGCATATCCGAGCTCGAGAAGGAGATGATCTCACCTTGTCAAGTCTAGATTCGACCAATGCACCTTTTCTGGACGCAGTTCTGAAGGAAACCCTACGTATGAGAACAGTTGTCGGCGGAATCCCACGCATTGCCCTCAAAGACATTGACGTCGATGGAGATGGAAAGACAGTCATTCCCAAGGGTTGGCTCCTTGATCCCTCTATGATGCTTACCCACGAGGAAGATCCGGCCACGAAACTCCCTGACGCGATGCACTTGGATGCTATTCAGGGCTTTCGTCCCGAGAGATGGTTGGATGGCAGTAGTGCGGATGGTGATGACAGCAATGAAGCTGCATTGGAAAAACCCAGCTCGGAGTGGTACGTTCCGTATGGGTTTGGTCCTCGATACTGCCTTGGGAAGAACCTCGCCCAGCTGGAAATGAAGGTCTTTTTAGCCACAATGGCGCGAAAGATTGACTTTCCCAAGCTGGCCATGCTACCTGAGAACTACGACTTTTCGAGGGACAAGAAGAATCCCGAAGATCCAAATTATTTCTCGGTTGAGTGGAGCACTAGGGAGGCTGTCATTCCGAATGCTTCGGATGGAGTCCTGGCCACCATCACAGCAAAAACTCCGCAAACCCAAAAGGAGAAGTCGACACCCATGCCCTAGTTCCTGCTTCAGAGAAACATAGGGATAGGCAGAAAGGAATCGTTTAGAGTGCGTCTCTCTGCAGAAGTAGAGGTATCGTGCGAAAAGCAATGGATCTGAAGGTCAACATTTTTATTCGTCATGCAGTGGTTTCAATAGTTCTTCACTTATTTGTTCTCAAATATCTGCTGCATATTAGTGTGAGATACGTTACGCTAAGTAGATTTTTATCTTGCGAATTAGTCATCTTGGTCCATGTTTCCCGAAAGAATGAATAACTCTCATCACTTTCGGTCAGTATCAGTGAATAGGGCTGCTTTCGTCGATGATCTCTATCTTAGAAAGAAATCGAACAGGAAGTTATTCTAGTCATGGATATCGAAGCGCTTTGTCCATACGCTAGACAAACTTCCGGAATACGAACTTTCGAAGTGGATCATAGTAAGCACATTATTGAATCATTCTTTAGTAACATAGATCTTTTATGCCAAGTATGTGGCACTTCTTGCTTCAATGTAGTATACACTTAGTATTGTTTGTTTCCCTTTCCCGATCCATTGGAAGCAGCCTAACTGGCAGCACAAAGAATACTTTCACCAAGGAATAAGTACTCAGCGCACTCGACAAAAGCCTCGGTAATTTCCCTTACTTGCTGGTTTCGTTTCGAAATGTTCGCCATTTGCTTTGTTCGCTCTGGCATAATTCTTTATCGTGTTTGTTCCCATATTTTCCCTTCTTCCAATACAGAACTCCCGATTCGAGTTGGATTCGCTCCTTGCGTTTTACGATAGTCCCATTGTGTTCTACCTTATCGCTGTAAAATTTCTTTGGCTTGAGTATGCCTTTTGGATATTTCTCCTTTTGCACGACTTTTCCGGCCATTCCTCGGTGCGTCCTCCGCGACTTGAATATGTCTTCTGTGATGTTATGACTGAAATCGATGGGTGGTACCCCATTGATCCTGCTTTTCCGCTTCTCGTTGCGGTAGTCGTCGAGGGTGATGTTGCTGTTCGCGTGCATCGCGAACTTGACGTAGGCCTGTCGGACGGCGTGTGGGCCTGTCACGAAGACTACCTTGGGATGCTGGATCTTCTCGAGTTTCAGAAGATTCCGAATTATTTCTTCCACCGTCAGGTACATCAGAGGATGGTTCGGCTCGAAGGCCATGAACCACTGGCTCGGTCGGTTCCAATCATCGCTGTAAAAAAAGCCAGACACATCTCCGGGTATGGTGCTTTCATTGAAGCGATCTTCGGGCCAATTGTCTATATCGGTATAGATGCCCCCGTATTTGTACTTTGATATGAACCACAATATTGTGTTGTATTTAAAAGAGTGTTGAGAAGCCCAACATCATCGAAGAGGAAAAAAGAGAAAACGAGAGGAAAATATAATGGAAAAATAAGCTACCTATGGTCGAAACCTAGCAAAGTTTTGACTCCCTGGCACTACCTCAAAGTCACTCACCAGGATCAGTATCCTCCAGACATCGATCGTCATTGCTCCCGTGGACAAGACGCACTTCATGGCAGACTCCAACCAGGGAAAGTCATCAGACCACAAATCCACGTCGTGAATCAGATCATGAACCGCTTGGTCGTCATGAAAGATTATGGAGTGCCCGGGTAGCTGGGCTTCCCATCGCTTCACGTACATGTCGATGTCCTGTGGCAGGCACCTGGATCTCATCGACACGTGAAGAATCTTGGGAATCATCCGCGTTCCCGATATTTCAAAACCAGTATCATTCATCATGCTTCTATTGGTAAAGTTAGCAGGACCAGTAATTGAGGGCCAAACTATCCGGTTCTTATAGTATTTTAGGGGCGGCGGACACTCGTGGGAGTTGGTATCATGGTTCCCCTCCGTACGAAGCTGTAGCTCCTCCAGAACTGCTCTTGCCTCGGCGAACATCGCCATTGCTGTGAGATTCGAAACCCTGCCCTCTTCGTTGGTATCGTTGTAAGAGAGACTGTCGTTTATCGTTGAGATCGATTTGGTTCTTGTTATTGATGGTGGTGCTGCTGCTTCTGCTTCTACTTCTGCTGCTGGTACAGGTGATGTTGGTAATGCTGCTACTGCTACTGCTGCTGCTCCCGCCGGTGTTGCCGGTGTTGTCGGGCGCGTACTACTTGAATTGGTTTCATTGCTCTTTAGAATGTCATCAATAGTAGCAATTGTGCCCGATGATCTATTGCTGCCGATACTTTGTTTGAGACTAGCCCCATTCTCGTTATCAATGGCGAAAGAGTTCTCGATGCGTCCGGATCCGTTGGTACGATTTTTTTCGTGGGCACCGACTGTTTCGTTCGTCGCTTCGACGATACCATTATTTTTGCTGGTTTCATCGACGAGAAGCGAACCAGCGTGTTGGTGGTGTTGGTGGTGGTGTGCCTCCTCCTGCTGCTGCTGCTGCTGCTGTGGTGTGCTATGGGCATCCAAGAACAACCCGTCGTGTTGATTGTTTTCCGAGAAGGTAATTTCTCTCGCAACCGCGGTCGTGGTCGCAATTGATGTTTTGAATTGAGACCCTGTCTTTGCCTGGTAGCAAACTAATATCGACACTACCGACACAACGAACCAGCGTCTCTTGGTCCTTGTTGTCATTGCGAAAACCGGATCCTTCCGCTCGTTCGCTGTGTAGTTCTTCGGCAACGCAGGGCCACTGCTCAGCGGATGGCTGTCCGTGTTGGTGTTGGTGCCTACCGACAGACTCATCGTGTCTAGATCGAAGTATCCGGTATACTCGTACAAGCACTCTCTTGCCCGGTATGATACCCGATAATGATATTGGTACAGTTATCGAACCGATGCATCTAGAGAGAGAAATTCAAAAATTCAAAACCTATCCGGAATGAACAGGGAGCACAATACCCGTACTTTAACGGTTCAGACCAAATTCTACGAGGAATATTCGTACCTGTACTATGTAGTATGTAGTATGTACGAGGTAGATAGCACAAGAGAAGAAGAATTGTGATACGTACCGGTATCGTAGTACGGTACCAACTACCAACCTGCCCTAGCTACGGTACCGTACAGAGACCAGGAAAAGCCAGTTCTTCATATATTAACAGCCGGCATGGCTATGTTTTGCTAGTTTCCAATACCAGCTGCTGGTTAGAAAATAGGCCAGAAATCTATCAAAACAACTCTTGACCACCAGACTAAGCGTCCAGTCCAAGTTGATATAATTACTTCGAAAACCTTGTTGTCATTGGGAACCTTGAGGATGCTCTGGTGACTTAGAACCGGTCTGGCAAAGTTGCACTAGGGGGTGTCCAAAAATTGCGCTTTGATTTCGGCTGTAATTTTATATTGAAATAACTGGTAGTATCATTTTAGATCTTAATAGCATTGTGCGTTAATTTCGGCTGCAAACTGACAGCAAATGAAAAACAGAATTACTGCTGCAAACTTCCCTCAAAGTATGAATTACTGGTGTCAAAGATCTCGAAACAAATGGGAATAACAGGCTCGTCGTAAATTTTGCTTTGCTCTTAGCTAGTAGTAGTAGTGTCAATAATGTGCAAGCTTTGGCAACAACAACGAATCAAAATGGCCAGCCCTGGAGCCCCAATCCTACTAGTAGTATTGCTGGCATTCTACTTTTTATACAAAAAAGCACAATTCAAGTCCATTTCATCGCTTCTGGGTTTTGTCGTTTCGATCCTTTTTCTGTATCGATTGGCTTCGTCCGTGCGTCGTTGCAACTGCAGTGGGTTGCAAACCAGTGCAACACAATGCAAGGCAGCCGCGTTTCGATGGAGATGGGCATGCTTGCTTTGCTTTGCTTTCTTTGGCACTCCCTCCTTCCCTTTCGTGTGGAGTCGCTAGTAGTGACCGGTGGATCCCCGCAACCGAAACGGGTTGTCGTTGCCGTTGCCGCTGCCGCTGCCGCTGCCGCTGCCGTTGCCGCTCCCCAGCGGCTCATCCGCGGCAAGCGACGAGAGCGGCGGCGACCGGGCTTCCATGGACGGATCGTTGTACCCGCGCAGGCCCCCGGAGCCGTCCATGCCATCGTTCCGGACCCCGTCCCCGGTTTCCAGGACGAGCTGGAGGCAGATCCCCGCGAGGATTCCGGCCTTCTGCCGGGGGGGGACCGCTGGCATCCAGACCCAGACCAGGCCGATGATCCCAGTGAAGTATCCCAGGCAGAACCCCCAGAGAAAGTTTCCCTCGGAACCCCGGGCGGTAGATCGGGTGGTGGCCTGGCCAAAGGCGGTGGTTCTGCCGCTGCTGCTCCGGGCATTGCTGCTGCCGCTGCCGCTGTTGTTCCCGTCGCTCAATCCCAGAATGCTTCTCAGGCGCTGGTGGTTGCCGTTGCTGTTGTTCCCGCCGGTGGTTCCTCCGTCCAGTGACGCAAACCGGAGCAGCGCGCTCTGGTTGAGATTGAGTCGGAACTCGGAGGTCGGTCCCTGGACTCTCATCCACTCTTCTTCTACCAACAATCGCCGGCGCGTCAGATCGGGCTCGTCCAAGTGGAGGGTGGGAGGAGCCGCTGCGCTGTTGTCGTTGCCGTTGCCGTTGCCGTTGCCGTTGCTGGAGTCGCCCTGGGTCTCTTGCGATTGCTGTTGTTGCTGCTGCTGTTGCTGCCGAACGTACCGATCGACGTCCCGGTTGAAGTAGGTCCGCAGGGCGGTGATTTCCGACCGGCTGAGGGGCCCCCGCAGGAGGTCGAATCCCCGCCGGTCCCGGTGCCGCCGCTCCCGGCGGGAGCGAGCGCTGCCGCTGCCCACCGATTGGTACAAGGAATGGCTCGGCCCGTAGGCATCGTCATCGCCGTCGCCATCGCTGTCGGTGCTGCTCCCACCGTCGTCCTCCTCGTCGTCCTCGCCGGCCCGCCGGCTGCGGTCCCGCGTGACCCGCCCGCCCGGACCGACGATGGTTCCGATGCCACGGTTCGGCCGCTGCCGCCGCCGGCGGTGCCGGTCGTGCTGCTGCGGCTGTGGTACGCTCGCACTTGCGGTCGCACTTGTGTTCGCATTCGCATTCGCGGTCGCGGTCCCCGCCAGAACCACGTGGACGACGTCCCCGCTCGACACCGCAAAGTCCGACAGGGGCCGGTCGTCGGGGCTCAGCAGGCGGCCCTTACAGACCAGCCGCATCGAGGGCGGGCGGCCGCCGGCGGGGGTTCCCCCCAGGGCGGCCCGGACCAGGGCCTTGAGCTGGGCCACCGAGGTGGACGAGAGGGTTCTCTTCGGGCTGGTGCCGTTGTCGTTGCCGTTGCCTCCCCCCGGGTGCCCGGGGAGCTCGATCTCCAGGTCTTTGCCGCCTGCACCGGCGTCGCTGCCCCGGCAGCGGCCGCTCGGCTTGATGCGCAGCCTCGCGGGACCGCCAGCCCCTTCCTTGGGGTCCGCCGGCGGGGTGGTGGTCTCGTCGTGTGGGCGTGGGTCTTTGTTGCCGCTGCCGCTGTTCGCTGGTGGCGAGGATGGCGTGGACCCGATCATGGTCGTGGTGGCGTGGCGCTAGGGCTGTCCTGCCTTCATTCAACACCCAGTGCGAGTGAGAGGACGACTCGAAACGGGATTTGTGTCCGACCGCGAAGGTTGTCGAGAAACCAAGCTCGTTTGTTGTTGAAGCTTTCTCCGTGATCGAGATTCACGAAGGAAAAGGACCTCGGGGGGATACATACCGGTACGAGTACGAGTAAACGGACATACTAGTAGTACGGTACGGTACGGTGCAATACAATACTACCATTTGGCGAAAACCAACAAAATGAAAAGGACGAACTGCACGGAAATAAGAAATTTATTATTAACCTGCCCGAAGCACCGCGCACATTGCAACGGAACCAACAACATGCACACCGGGGGTCACAAATTGAGATACCTATATTGAGTACGTACCTAAAGTGAGTAGGAACATATCCTGGATCACGATAGTACGTATGTAAGTAGGTAGTTCCTATCAGCAATTGCACAGCCCACAAAGTTTTTTTTTTTTTTCCAAACCACGATTCAGGAAAGTGCCACGTGTAATTAGTAGGAAAAAAGACGGGTATCAGATTTCACGAACCTGTGCTCTGTATTCGCAGTGTTCGCATGAGTACAAAGCATACGTACGTACCTTTAGCCTACGAGTACGTACTTGTGTTCTGACCGAAACGTGCCAGTTTGGGATTAGAATTGTGTGGGAATTGGGAATGGTTTTCAGTGTGTGTGTAGGTACGTCGTATTTTTACTGAAACCGCACAACCAGATTAGGGAAGTCATGTACCGTACTCTACGAAGTACGGTACTGTACAAAACTGTTACGTCGTTACTACTTGTACATAATTGTGGGGGGATCAGCGGACACGATTCCTGCTCCGACCCGAACCGCCTTTTTTTGACGCCGACACCTGACATCCACAAATCATCGAAGCCCAATCGAATCGGTTCCTACCGTACTCATACTCGTACTCGTACCGTGCCTGCTCCATAGGTACCGTAGCATCATTGTTCGTTGTGGCGGCACAGTGCGGCAGACCGTACCGTAGCAACCAAAGCCACACCGAGACGAGAGGTCTCGCACCAGAGCACACACAAAACAAACACACCAGCAGCACACCCGACGCCCACCACACCTCCACCGAACCACCATCGCGGAGCGAGAAAAAAACAAGCGGGGGACATCCGGAACCAGAGCACTAGAGGGCACGAGAAGCCACACGCCGAAGCGAACAAGGAAACGAAGCGACACAAAACGAAACCAATCGAGATGGCAGCAAAGGCGACGACCGCGCGCAAGAGGCGATCCACCGGGCGTTTCGCCGTCGGTTTGCTCCTCCTCCTTTTGCTGCTCCTGGTTCCCGGGGAGACGGCGGCGGCCTCCCGGAGGGCCTCGGGCACCAAGAAGAAGAGCCACGACAAGAAACAATTCGCGTCCGACAACTACTACACAGTCCTCGGCCTGACCAAAAAAGCCAAGGAAAAGGAAATCAAGTCCGCCTACCGAAAGCTCGCTCTCCGGTTCCACCCCGACAAGGTCAAGGACGGCGAGGACCCGGAAGAGGCGGAGGACATATTCGTCCGGGTCAGCGAGGCGTACTCGGTGCTGAGCGACAAGGAAAAACGAAAGATCTACGACCGCTACGGGAAGAACGGACTGGATGCCTACGAGAAGGGACAGGATCCCGCGTCGGCCGGCTTTGGCGGATTCGGCGGTAGTGGCGGCGGCGGCGGCGGATTCAACGGATTTGGCGGATTCGGCCAGCAGGGGGGAGGCTTTCGCCAATCGAGCGGCGGTGGCTTTGGTGGCGGATTCGGTGGCTTTTCCGGCGGCTTTGGCAGGGGCGGGAACCACGGGGGGGGAGGATTCGATCCCTTTTCGATGTTCGAAGAAATGTTCTCGGGCCAGGCGGGAGGGGGAGGAGGATTCGGTGGAGGCTTCGGAGGAGGCCGGCGGGGGGGAAAGGGAAACCGGGATCGGCCACCCGCTCTCTTCCCCAAGGGCCAGAGCCACGTGGCCCGGCTGGGGTCGCCAAAGTTTCCGGACCAGGACAGCAAGCACATGTGGATGGTCCTGTTCTACGCCAACAGCAACCAGGCGTCGCGGGCGGTGAGCGAAAAGTACGAGCACCTGGCCTCCCAGACCAACCTCCCCTACAAGGTGGGGGCCGTCGATTGCAAGCTATCGCCGAAGGAGGAGAAGTTTTGCGCCGAAAAGGGAATCGAACCCGGCCACGACCTGCCAAGCTTTGGCATGGTCGTCGACGGAGAGCTCCTCCGCTACGAGGACTTCGACTCCCGGTCGCCCCCCTCCTCAAAGGCCCTGCACGAGTTCTGCATGGACCACATGCCGAAACGATACGTCCGGAACATCAACAACGTGCCACAGATCAAAGAACGGTTGCTGGCACCGGAGGAAGAGGAAACCGCCAGCAGTTCGTGGTTCCAGTATTCGTCGTCGTCGAAACCAAAGGCAAAGCCACCGAGGCTTCCCGCAGTCCTCCTGCTCACCGACAAGTACGAAACCTCGTCCATGTTTTACGGCCTCGCCTACTATTTCCGAAGAGACTTTGTCTTTGGGGAGTCCCGTGCCAAAAACCTCAAGCTGTCGCAGACCTTTCAGGTGAAGAAATACCCGACCCTCGTGGCGTTTGTTCCGTCGCCGGTTTCGGGCTCTCTGGTCGGGAAAACCGTGCCATACGACGACAATTACCACACCATTCGGTACACGGGTCCACCGAAGAAGGAAAAAATCACTGCCTGGCTGACAAAACTGAACACCGTCGTCCGGGAATCAAAGCACGACAAGAGCAACACCGGAAGAAGAAGCGGAAGGACGGAATTCTGATGAGAGCAGAAACGCCGAGGGGTGTCCTCCGGGGGTTGTGTGCTTGCACCGTGTCGAAAGCGCTGCCAGCGATGCCACGATGCACAAAATACAATACATAGATTTAGAGAAATTTTGCGCGACGACTCCGAAACCTTATTGTAACACCAGGATTATAACATACGAATGGCTCTCGATTTCTGCTGTTGATTTTTTTGTTTGCACCCTTGAACAAAAACAAAAAAATGTGATTGATAGTGGACCAAAAAATTTGATTTCTTTCCGGCAACTTGATAGCTTTATTATTTTCGTGTTATTGGTTCCATCAGGCCGTTGATTCGGTAGCTAGCCCAGAAGTAAAAGTGTTTATGTTTTCCGACGTGTGCCCTTTGGTGTCTCAGAACAACATCACTGTGACGGCAAGTAAGCTAGCCGACGTGGTGGTATACATACATAATCGTATTTGTAGCATCGATCTTGTTATTTTGGTATTAGGATGACCATGGGCAAACCGGGCGCTCCGTGCCGAAAGAAATCGGATCGAACGTACGGCTCCAAAAAGAAGTGTGCCAATGGAATGCCTGTCCCGACGACAAATGCCGTCTTGAGTGGTCGAGGCACCCATCTGCTTATTCTTTGAAAGAGCTGGGATTTCCCCAGGGTCATTTCAAATCCGATCAACATAGCTTGCCACAAGAAAAAAATAGTGGTGCCGCCAAACTCTAACCGGTAGATGTTCTTCTCGCTGCCGTCGTGGTGTTGATTGCCCCCGACAAAACGATTTGGGAACACCATGAGTAGAAGCCATTCATGAAATATCCCGCTGGCGAGAAATGTCGATATGACGGCGGCTGTCTTGGAGGAGCATGTCTTCCGAATGGGTTTGTAGACTCCGTTCTTCAAGACGGTATGAACCAATAAGTTCCATCGACGCCCCCAGAATTCCGAGGGCGACTGGCTCGCGAGCAAGGGATTGTCCATAACCGGTTCGGCTTCGTATCCGGTAAACGCCGTGAATAGAAATGTCAGCGCCTCGAGGTAGGTGGTTAGGTACATTTGGAGAAGGAAAGCTTGTATTGCACTGTTTGCGTACAAACGCCACGTGAAACAAGATTCTTTTGCACAAAACGATGCTACGTCTTCGTTGCTACTTTCCATACGAAATAGAGCAAAGTCAAGGAAAGGACTGAGGATGGACTGCAACAATCCCAACGCGAGCAAGAGAAATGTGAACGTGACAAAATGCTTCAGAATTTTTGTCGAAGTACATGGTATTTGGTCTCCGATATTTCCATTGTGGGTGATCAAATCGCTATCGCCATCGTCGTTCGTTGTAGCATTTGTTCCATCTTCCCTTGTTTTCTTCTGCGGCGGTCTGGCTTTCTGAGCTTTGATGCGAGCCATGATTGGAATAGTTGCGTAGTAAAAGCAAAAATCCGAAGCGGAGCCCTTCACATACTCCGGAGAAAAGCCGCATATGGTTTCGATGGTTCGGAAGAAGTAAACAACCGTGAAGCATCCCATCATAAATTTGAAAATCATGTTCCGTGCGTCAAAAATTTCCACCACCAGAAAGCTGAACACACTCCAGAAAGGCAGGACGATCCCCCAGCCAACCAAGTAGGCTTTTGTTGTTCCCTCTTGTTTTGGTTTGATCACAGCGTGATGCAGTAGAAGGCCAACGAAAGCACCCAGCGACATCATGGCAAACACCAATACCAGCAGCTCGATCCAGTAAGAAAGTGACATCATTAGAAAGCCAAATGCAATATCCGGTCTTTCGGTTCCTTCGACCGTCATGACCCTAGCGATGCTGCTTGGAATCGTAAAAGTAAATAGGGGTGTCCGATCATCCGTTTCTGACAGATAGTGAAAGGCGGGGATCCCAGTGATAGGATCATGATGTGTTGCCATGCTGTCACTGCTTCGTTGACTTTCACCGTGCTTCTAGTTCTAGTTCTCAGTTGCAGGCCGTTCCATTCGTAGTTGTATCTCGTTTTGTGAATGCATCGAAGTCTGGAACGATCGCGTCACAAAAAAACTCCGTCCTTAATCTAACTCATACGGTACGGTAGGTTCATTCCCGATACTACGAGTTTCATAACAATTGCACGCCGTCTTGCCCAGGGCCCTCCGGTACCGTACCCACGCGCACATCCCCCTTTTCGAATTCCTCCCCTAGAAAAACGTGGGTTATTTTTGGTGAAAAATAACCCACATTTCTAAAACGTGGGTTTTTTAATTTGAAAAATAACCCACGAAAGAACCCAGGAACCCACAAATAACCCATGAAAGAACCCATGAATAACCCATGAATTTATAGTCATATGGGTTGATGGAGAACCAAGGATGTTAAGTATTTTAGTAGTCATTAACGTTATTTAATCACTGTTTTAATTTTTGGAAAAAGGCCCAGCAGGTTTGTGGGTTATTTGTGGGTTATTTTCATGGGTTATTTCGTGGGTCATTTGTGGGTTAACCCAGGAACCCAGGAACCCACATTTTAGAAACGTGGGTTATTTTATTTGAAAAGAAAAACCACGAAATCATACCCCCGATATTAGATTTCAAAGGGGGGACGTGCGCGCATTGGTTCCAGAGGGCCCAGAGAGCAAAAAGTAATAATTTGAAGTTCTAAACTTTGGTTTGAAGTTAAGAACTTCAGGTAGAAAGTCTACTAGGTTCTACTGAGCTAGTTTTTGGATGGCATTCATGATTGATTCATGATTGATCGCCCTGACCCATTTTTTTGTTTTGAGGGGAATCGTGATTTGGCCATTCAGTCATTTTAAATAACTAGCTCAGTAGAACCTGGTACATGATGTACGAGCAAAAGTTCATAACTTCAAATCAAAGTTTAGAACTTCAAATTATTACTTTTTGCTCTCTGGGCGAGAGGATGTGCAATTGTTACAAAACTTGTAGTAACACTGAAATATTATGTCTTTTTTGACCAGCCAGCTCAGTTAATGTATCTCAAACACTCAGATACTGGTTGTCATAAGCCCACAACAACCATGATCTGAGTATTTGAGACACATATTTGTTGGAATAGTTTACTGAATACTCTCAGTCTCATGAGTGGGTGCGCCCTAAAGACAGGTGTCACCACTTGGCACCAAACTGAAAATTTCAATCTTCTTTCAGAGAACAAGAAGAACAAGCAGCATAACAATATTATGATCTTTGCTTCCCTCAAGAATAGAACACACATGCAAGGCAGAACACATTCAACAAAGACAAGAAAAACTGGACACACCCATGCAACAGCAACAAGAAGCCCTTGCTAACCAGTCCATGTAACAGCATTACCAAACCATGAGAGAAATCAAAGGCATGCTTTGTTCAATTGCCAGCTCTTACTATCTCCCTGCTCCTCCTGGAAAGAAGAGGAAGGGCTGAAAGAACAAGGAGTACTCCTCCTCCTCCAATTTAAATGAGAAATTGGAATAAGAATCCCACAGTCATTTGCTAATTACAATTAATATTACTAAACTAGTTTACTGTTGATTGCTGTTTGCACCCTCTTGTTTGCAATTTATGAGTATACTGCTGGAATAGCAATCATGTTGTTTGGATTCAGTCTGTTTGTTCCTTCTCAACACAGGAGCATGCCAGCAATTGTGTGGGATTGCTTCCATGTGACTACTAGGATCCCAAAATAAATATTGATTTATATTCATCCAATCAATCATGGTGGAATTTGCTTCCATGTAAACCACATTCCCTTGCTGTTAGTAATCCTGGTTTCTTTATGGGAAGAGAAAGGTCTCTGTTGGCAATCCTGGTTTTTCTGGGAAGAAGGTATGCAAGAAAACTGGCAACACAAAATAACACAGTGCTATAGTGGGCAAAACTCAAATAGTATTGTTGTGTATCACATGGGTTTCTTTTTTGGACAAGACCAGCAAGATGATTCTGCTGCACTGATAATTAGACAACAACAACAACAACAACAAGAGGTTAAGAATATTCTTCCTGTTGCTGAGCTCTTCTAGTGTACGCCTCTCCGTTGTTCTTAGGCATTGCCCCAGGATCATTCTCATGCCCCATTCAGACAACTCCTGGACAGCCACCTGGCTGTTAACTACTACAGTCTGCGTGTTTTTAGACATACTAATATCAAAGGTATCAAGATATTTTGCTGACTCCAAATGAGATATTCTGTGCCTTCCATCTTAAATGTATAACCAACAACAACCCTTCCGCCAGTTGTATTATATGTGTTCCATCTTGTCATATATGCCGCCATACTCAGCCATGGTACTGTCATGCAGAATCCCAGGGCAGTTGTATGTGGCCCTACAAATTCTCCCATTGGGCGCAAAGGCAAGGATGTTATTGATGTTTGTATCACAGACTCAAGAGTTGTAGTACATACTCTGAATGACCCAGTTGTTGGAGTGCTGAATCTTAACTTTGGCAAGGCCACCAGCTGTGCCCCATACTCTTTTGGTTCCAAGCGCACGATACTTTCTTCCTGCTATAGCTACTGCATATGCCTGGACCTCTTCTTGCATGGGGGTCTGATAATTGCATTGGGATGGTTTTGCAACACAAAGAGAAGGACTCATCTAAAAAAAAATAACCATCTGTAGAGGGGAGTGGAGGTAATTCCAAACACCATACACAAGGCCCTGGCTGATGATCCATATGTCCTGTACCAAGAAGTCAAGACCAATGTCATCCCAATAGTGGCAGTTACCTCCCTCTTTTTGCCCTTGGGTTTGCCTTTCTTGGTTAAGAGTCCAGGTCTGGTCAGCTCAGTGTATTTGTCCACAGTATTGTATACAGTTGGCCAGCAGATCTACAATCCAGCTGCAGATTGCAGGTTACCTTTTTGGGTATAATGACTTCTTTGACTAAAAAAATTAAATACATACAAAATTCACATGCTCAGTACTTGAATTTTTGAATCCCACCAGTCTTGTGACCAAATAGTTTTGCTCCCACATGCACACTGTAGCATAGTACAAGTAAAATTTTAAATCCCACAAGTCATTACAGGGTAGAAAGATGGCCTGTTATCCACCCACCATGTTATTTAGTAGTAATTGTATGACTGTTTAAGTCTTGAAGAACTGACAGTTTGTGCTGTATCTTGGTCCCCAACAGACGCTGAAGAATGCTAGGCACATGAATTGAATCCCAGTAAAAAGAAAAATTCAGTGATATGGGGGAGTAGGGGGGTCAGAGAGGTATTATTGATATACATGTTTGTATATCCAGCATTGCTAATGTACAACTGGGTTGTATTTTTTTGCTTGGCCAAGCCTATACAATACCTCTCAAACATTGGCTCAAAGAGGGAAAGGAGGTGCCTAAAGACTCTATGGTTGACACCACAGCAATTTAGATGAGCCTGGTGATCATCACCAAAACCAAACACATGGATGGTAAATGGTGAGTTATTCTCTTTCATGAGTGCTATTCTGAGCATCCTCCTGTCTCTAAAACACCTTTCCCCAAGGGTAAGGAGTCTACTAGTAGGACTTGTCTCCTCCTGCTGCTGGTGGTCTTCTGGGGAAGCAGCCCATGCAACAAAAACCAACTCAGAGGACATGATTGTCAAAGTGTTGTGGCGTGGTGTTTTTTACTGTGAAGGAGGAATCAATAGTCAAATACTTGTCAGGATAGAGATTTTTTGGTCATTTTGGAGGAAGAATGCAACTAGGTGTAGTAGAGCTGCTGTTTTTGTCAAAACCTGAATTGACTCTCATTGGTACCATGAACTGCAATCTTCATCCGTTGTGAAATGCATGTGCAAATATGGGATTCCATATTCCCAAAATGAGGGAAAATATGTACTTTCAGAGAGTCTGCTGGGTCTTAAGTACCACTGGAAACATACCCACATACATAGATGGATTGATGTTTTCAGGGATGAACCATTCACCAATTGGGCTGCTACTAACATACATAATGGGCATGCAATAAAGTACGTTTTGGTCAATTTTTCTTTCTTTCAACCATTGCATAAAAACATTTACTTTGTTTATGTAGACTTCCTTGTGGTTTAGTGCAAGTTCCTGCTGATCACTACAGTAGCAGTAAAATTTCCAACTGCTGATCTATTAGTACTATACCTTGAATAGTCTTTGCTTGGTTACTCTGTAAAAGATTGCTGCCCTCAGATTAAAAACAAAAAAATTGGCAACAATTTGTTCAATCTCATGAACTAGTAGTAGTAGAAGAACGTCACAAAAAGTGTTCCCGACCCCTCACATCCCATAGCGTCCCTTTTTTTTTTATTCCGCACCCCCCTTTTTTTATTTCACATGCTTCACGCTCGGTATTTACGTCACATTGGTCGCGTTTTTTCCAACCGAAATCATGGCACCTCGTGAACCCATTTTTGTTGGATG